AGCAAGTCCTGCTTGTTGCTACTTCTACAACTTCTACTGCTGCTTCTACTACTACTGCTGCTACTGCTGCTGCTGCTGCTTGTGTGTCAAGTTTTTGGAGAAAAATGGTTAAACGTTCATAAGTCGAAAATAAATTTGAGGAAATGAAAGCGATAAGTGAATTAGTTTTCGGGAATAGATGAAGATAATCATAATTTTAATCACAATTGTAATAGAATTCACAAAGAAGTACTTCCTATTTAAAGATTTTACGACAATTAAATTTCAATAAACATACATTAAATGAATTGTAGAAGTTGGCGACTTGAAAACAAAAAAAAAAATTTTCTCACCCACCTTTCTCTCTTCTCTCTACCTCTTATCCTTCTCTTCTTTCTGTTTCCTGTATTGATGATCTATTCTCACACTCTTCATATTCATCTTCCTTTTCTTCAACCTTCTGTCACCTCTTCCCACCTTCACCACCTCCCTCTCTCTCTCTCCTCCTACACCTCCCGATATGGGAAAGAAGTGAAATCCCGGTTTTTTCTTTTTTCTTCTTTCTTTTTCTGATAAAATAATAAACATTTTACAAATTTCTTCACAAATATCACTCAATACAGCTGTTCTATCAACGTCATCTTTGGCACACAAAATGCTTCTCGTTCCTCTTCGTCACGTCGGTCTCCTTCACATCCACGGTGGTGCTGGTTGCAAGACGTAATGAATACTGGCTAATTAAGAAATTAATCTCATTGTCAACTAGTAGTAGCCATTTCAGCCTCTTTTACTTATTTCTCTCACTCTCTTTCATTTCTTTTCTATCCTTTCAAGCTTCTTTTCTTTCGTCCATCTCTTCAGTCGTCGTCTCCATCATTCAATCTCTAGTGAGCTTGTGATCTAACAAGTTAAAACTTAAATTTCATATAAAGAGAAGATAGGTTTATCCTTCTCTCTCAGTCTCTCACTCTCTATCTCTTTGCTAGCCTCAACTTTAACCTACGTAAATCATATAGGGATTGAGTTTCACTTCCTTATCTGCTACTCCCTATCTGATTTATTCAGAGAAGATGAAGCTCAGCAAGCAATTGTCTTTGAGCTTCCTCTTTCACCACCGTACATACAAATTTCAGAATAAATTAATCAGAATTATGACGATTTCCTTAATAATTCCATCAAAGATGATCATTTAATGTCTTTTATCCTTCTATTATTCATTAGAAACTGCCACCCAACAAGGCGACAACATTTCTAATTAACCACGGCGAAAAAAAACAGCTTGAAAGCTAAGCAAAGAAGGAGGGGGAGAAAGAGAAAGTATCTGAGCAGCAAGGAGAGGTTGGCTCTTTGAGTCTGAGCCTTTCCTTTTCTTTTTAATTAAAAGCAAACACGTCTATAAATGAGACTAATTGGAACAAGTAATGAGAAGTCCTACTTACTAAGCAGAAACCTTAACCAAAATAATTTCTTTTTTCTCTCTTTTTTTATATTATTATTCGGAAAGCAGGTTATAACATTATCAGAATCAGATAATTCATAATACCGATTGAAGCAAAGCAACAGAGGTAGATGGAGATACAGAGAGAGAGAGAGAGAGAGAGAGAGAGAGAGAGAGAGAGAGAGAGTGACTGAATGAGGGTGAGACAAGAAGGGCTACAACCGAATAATCTCAAAGTTAGGAGTTTGTAACAACTCAAGCTTAAACGAGACAAGCCAAATAAGGTGTCAAACGAACTTATAAATTGAACAATTCTATGTATTAAAAAAAGACTAAAAGAGGATTATTCAAAAATTCAGAAAGCAATCAAATTTAAAAATGAGCAAAAAAAAAAAAATAAACTATCAAACGCGTGCCAGCCAGTTGAAGACGAAAATGAAATGAGAAAAAAGAAAAATTAATTTTAAACACCTTTCCACAAAAGTCGAAAATATTATTTTTTTTCAGATTTTTTCTTTATTTTTCTTCCTCACTCACTCCGTCCACTCTTTCTCTTTCTCTATCTCCCTCTCTCTTTCTCTCGACACTGCTATCCATCTATCGTTCTCTATTCTCTCTCTCTTATGTGATCTAAGGCAAAATATAAATTTTTAGCCATTTATGTCATTTGGTGTCACTTACTTACACCTGGCTAAAGGCATAACGACCTTAAAAGGGCGAGGCCGATAAAAATTGAATTAAGAAGGACTTTAATGAAAATTTATTAATTACAAATTATACTTATCCTAAATATAATTATTGTCAATAATTGGATTGTTCACGAAGAGATCAAATACGAAATAGGCATTGATTGACCTTACTCAGACTACAACTTTGGTTTTTTTTTTCTTAGTTCTTTGAAACTACCGAAGGTACGGTGAGCAAGACAAATATATGAATGAGAATGGCAAAAAAATATTTCTCCAAGAAAGTTGTTGAAAAAATTAGTTATGACAATTATGAATTGCTCAACTTATACAGCTTTTCAAGTAGATTTGAATCACCGCTCTGAGAAGCTTGTGGTATTTCATTCTCTCTATCTCTATACACCTCTCAATCTCTATATATAGATTTCTGTCTCTCTCTCTCTCTTCCCTCTTATTTCTCTTTAATTTCTTTAGGGGTTCTACCTTTTCATTTTACAACACATAGTTCAGTTTGCCCTCTTGCAAGCTACAATATTTCGCTTACTCCTCCCCGGCTCATTTGTCGCTTTCGAATCCGGAAATCAAGAATACGGTAATTAAAGGTGCCTCCCGTCAATCAGGTCTATACGTCTGAATCTGCTGTATGTCTTTCCTTCTTTGGTTCTTGCAATCAAACTCAGACTCTCAAATCACATCCGTCGTCATTCACTAGAAAGTTGGTGAGGAAAATGGCTAATAAAGCTTTCAGGCAAATAACAAACGAATTAAAGTTTTCATTTTAATATTTAATATTTATGAACTTGACAAACCAGAAAAATTTACCAGAAAAAGCAAATTGTCAAACATTTATAAAGCTAAAATAAGCTTAAGCAATGGCTATGGCTATTCAATAAACATCTTCTTTCATATACAATTTATATAAAAATATATAGTTAATAACACTCAATGATGTCTAATTCTGATTTATTACGATGTTTCATTGAATATCATCATAACGTTATTTGCTTAAAAATAGAAAAGAAATATTTAGGATGAAGCTGAAATTTTTAAAATTAAATTAACTATGTCGCCTGACAAGTTATTTATCAGCATTGGCAGATTAGGCATTCTATGCAACCCAAATCAAATTTTTGACCAGCATCCGGAATCTTCATTAGTTACTGGACAACGTTTTAATTTGATTTCTCCTATTGTGAATGGGTAAAAAATATTTTTTTTTGTTGTTGCCATCTAAGGGGATAATATCACATTCAAAATGTATGTTATCAGTTGGAGGAGTCTTAGTGATCTACGCACATATCGATGATTGGCGCCAATGCAAACTACGTAATTTCATAATTATGCTAATTACACGTTACGTTTGCTATATCATCATTTACAGAAGTATTTGAAACTTCATCGTTAGTGCAGATCGATAGCATTCTTGTTCCTTTATCCTCTTTTAGTTTCTTCCATTTTCGCTATTTCAGTTCCAACCTACATATATATATTTATAGACTTCAAGTTCATTTTTTCTTAACTCTCACTTCTTCTTGTTCAGTCATTATACTCTCTAACTCATTTTTTTTCTGAAACTGAACAAGAAATCATACCTGACAGGAAGTTCGGAAGACTTCATGAATTTGTATTGTATTGTATTAAGGTACTAATTTTCACACCTGCCTCTACCAATGAATCGTTGAATGCCATTTTCCCTCTCATTAATCCATGATCTCTCGCATACCCTCAGCTTCTTTTCTGCTGGAGGTATCGTTATGATTGTTCTGGCTCAAGCGGCTTACCTTTAAACGCTTCCTGAACTTGGCTAATTACCGAGCCATTGTGGAACCATTATTACCAATAATTGCCTAATTTGGTCTCTAATTGTATGCATTTGCTATTCGAAAACTCTCTAGTCACTGGATACTATTTCTTAAGCATTTCTCCGTCTTCAGGTAGTTCATGGTTCGTTTTATAATTTTACGAAAAAAGGGAAAAGCAGCTGAGAATTCTATCAAGATGTGGCACATTTGATTAGAAAAGCTCTTGAAAATCAGGAAAGATGAGAAGAAGTACAAACCAAGAAGAAACGGTGGACAGAAAAAACAGAAACAAATGATATTCAGTGGATACATTATCACACAGCTGTTTTGAAGGCAGGCAGTCCGTGCCTATCGTCAGTATTAACTGTAATTATAGAAAAAAGACGAAAATATCTAATCAAGCATTGTTTTGCACCTCTCACGACCATGGATAATCAGTAGTAACTGCCATAATTAATAATTGGCTTTCATATTTTCTCTCGTAAATGAAATTATCGTTTTCGTTCTATTGTGATAATCTGTAGTTGTTGAGAGAGGGACGAGGAAATATGTGCTATTAAGTTCTTCATTATTCCTATAAATGGAAAAACTTCATGAGGTTTGATGATTATATGATAACGTACTGTTATCCAGAGAATTCGTTTCACATTACTTTTCCCCCATTAGCCTGTCTAATCGAATACCTTCTGAGACACACTATATGTCATTTTCCTCGTCTGCAAAAAAAGAGCTCTCAGCCTTCACATTAACGATGAAGTGAGAGTCATGTTAATGTCTATAAAAGGAAGGAAAAGGATTTATTTGGAAATGCATGAAGTACCTGCACAAACGGACATCTGCAACTAATTCAAGTAAGTAAAAATTGGTTTGATCACCTTTATATATGAATAGACCTCATTTAAAATTGAATCAAATGAGTCTAATGACTGGCAGTTCCTTGAAAATTAGATGAAAACTGAAGGGGATACGTGATATGAAGAAAAACCTTTTAATGAATTAAAAATTATAATGAGTTAATTCAGTAAACGTCACGGAATGGGATGAAACTGCCGTTCTTGAATAAAAGGAGAATTAGAGAAAACTTTATTACACCATTCAACATATTGATAGATTCTTCTTACAATAGTTATGATCCAAATGTATATGATGAAGTAGCTTCACATTAGAAATACATGATGATTTATAAGTGGTCCTACGTAGCTTCTGAGCAAAAGATGAACGAATATTTCTCAAATCATTTCGCGTTGTCCAATAAACACGTTCGTCTGGTGTTCGCTCTCTGCGTATATGATCAAGAATTTTGTCAAACTCAGAATGCAACTCTAGCAGATACTTCAGGTAAATCTTATCTGACTTATTCAGCCAAGTTTTCACCAAGTCCAACTCATGCAGAATATGTCCCTCACAAAAAACTGAATAACAAAATCCATCAAACTGTCGGAATCTAATGAATGCTGTACAATGTGATTGGACTTTTCGAGACTGATGTCCATGTCTCTTCGATTCATTTTTGTAATTCATGGGCGGGTTGCCTGTACGATGACATCTGTACATTATATCACAATTTCTACTTGTTGTTCTTTTAACAAAACTGGATCCTGTGTTCCGTTCCAATGTGCACAGCCATTTCTGTATTTTAAGATGTTCAGAGTGAATAGCTGCCAAAACAAACCTCGAACTCTTCGAATGAGGAGTGCCACACTTCTTTTAAACGATAATCTTGCTGCTGTCCCGCTGCTCCAACATTGGAATGATACAGTTCACAATGATGTGCTAGAGCTTCGTGGTATCCCAGGTTTTCTAGGCAACCAGGAACCGGACATGGGACCTGTTTAATTTAATATATAGAAGGCAAAATATTATCAACATACCGTTGGAGCTTTGCTCTTTGATTTCTTAACAATGTTCGGTAGCTTTTGAAAAGTATTTGCTACGTAGAACCTATCCTTCAATTTCATTTCATCGATAGTAATAGCTGACTTCTTGATCAGCTCTTGAACTTGGTTTTCTGGCCATCTATGAATATTCCTCAGATGACGATACAGCGTTTTCCGTGACGAGAGCTGCCGGGTACAGGCTGGACAGAACACTTGTTGGCTATGACATTCTCTTTCATATACAGGTTCATCTGTGGTATTCCAGTAGTTCTCTGTTGAATAATCGTAGAAGTAATCCACGGATGTCTCGTCGAGAGGTATGCTTAACGAGAACATTTCGATGAAATAAAAAACAAAACAGGAGAATGCTCGTTCATTATCTGATTAACAAGGTATGCAAATGAACAGAAAGAATTACCGAATGCAATTAACATATTTAAGTGATTTCGACATTACTTCCGCGCCCAAAATTTAATGCAAACAAACTTAGCGGATCATTCAGAAGTTTGAAAATCAATATCAATAACTTATATTTAAAGAAGAAAGCAGTGCAGATTTTTGTTTTCTGTACTTATTGGGCCTTTGCTTTATATTCGTTTATGGCCCGAACTCTCTCGATAATTGGAGGATGAGAGTGATTGAAAGTGGAATACCAAATGTCATCGATGGGCATGGAAAGATTGTCCTACAACAACTCAATATCTTTATACGACATGCTTCTTTCATACCTTGCTGAGTTTCTTGAGAGCAGTGATTAATTGAGGTCCGAATCCTAATTGGTTAGCATATTCATCGGCTTGGAATTCACAGCGGCGGGAATGCATATTCATCAAAAATCCGTCGATCTGAAAGAGAGCGGTTGCATTCATGAACGAGGTGTTGTTTTACCTGATGATAAGGAGCCATAACAAACTGGAACACTAGAATGAAACCTATAATAACAGGTGTGTCTGTGAATCCGAAGCACTGAACAATTCATTAGAAAATATTAAGAGTTTTTAGATTACTTCGTATAAGTTATTCCATTTGTATAAGTAGCTGAAAGCATAGAACATAATGAAGATGTTCAACTCGGTGATGATAAGGTTTATCACTGTATGGGAAAGAGCCCAATGACCTAACTCATGTCCCAGTACGGCAACAACTTCATCATTAGACATGCCGCGGGCCTAAACATAAAGTCTTTCTCAATTTTGTTTATTAATAAAACCTTTTCCTTTTCATCTTGCTTTTCTTCACCAGCTTCGGCACATTCCTTTATAACTTTTTCTTTTTCTTCACCACTCAACAGGGTGTCATATAGGACAATACGCTTGTTTTTCCAGAATCCGTACATGTAGGCATTGCTGTGTGCTGAACGCTTTGAACCTTAAACAGCTTTAATGAATATAATAGAAGAAATTTGTCTCAAACCATGAACGACATACAACTTGGTTAATGGGTAGCTCACAGAAGCAGCCAGTTGCTCAATAGCTGTCTATAATTATTGCCTATTACGTTGTTTTTTTTATTTATTTTCACTTTCAGAGGTCCATCAGGTAGAGGGATATACTTATCGAAAAGTGGAGCGATGAATGCAGGATAGATCGTCATAAGAACGAAGATGATAACAGAAACAAACAGCCAAGTATAGACAAAGAAATATTCACCTTAAAAAACGAGAGTGAAGTTTAAGAAAGTTTGCAAACCTCCGTATAAAACAATCCATTCCAACCCGTAGACAATTGGTGTCGTAAGAAGGGAAGAAACAACCAACTTTTTGACGGTGTCTTTTAGGTAGAAGCCGAGAGTCTGTTTATTGAAACCATGCTTTTCCTCAATGACAAAAGTGTCGTAGAGTGACCATGGTAGATCCACAACAGTGGATACTAAGCTCGACAGAACCGTGAAGGCAACGGACTAAAAGGGACAATTTGAGAGGGAAAAAATGAATAACAGACCTGAAGAGGTAAACCATCACATAGATACCACAACTTGGGTAAAAACTGATAGCATAATACGACAGTTGTCAGCAATTGTCCATAAATGCCTTGGGCAAAACTGAATCTATGTTTGTCCAGTTTGTAAGAACGAGCTTTGTTATAGTCCTGAGTAAAACATTATCTCATATGACATATGACTATTGAAATTCCAACCTCCTCAGTTATCAAATCAGCAACTTCATTAGGACGACGAGCGTTTCTCTCGTGAACTTTGTACTGGCGCCAACTCAGATAAAGATCCCAGAGGAAAACTATCCAGTTTCCTAAAAGAACGGCACGGAAGATGTTTGTCGGTTCCATACCTTAACACACTATTAACATCGCAAACAAAAATGGAGAAGAAGAAGTACAAAGAGCTAGAAAAGCTGTGAGGAAGATGAGAGATTCAATAAAACTCTTTAATTCTCTTCAATTCGATTGCATAATACAAGTGATATAAAATTTTATGATATTCATTTCCTCCATGACTAGCTGAATCATCTATCTACAACCTGAGTACTTTCATAATCTACGTCTGCAATCGATTTTTTATCATTCGTCACAAGCAGTTCACCAACCTAAGTTTACAAAATCTTCTTTCAGAAGCTCGGCAGCTTTTTTTCTGAGAGCGGGATTGGAAACAAGGCATTTGCTTAAGAAATCTTTTTCTTTCTCATTGACCTGTATATATAGAAATAAGCACTGATAAAGCAACGTGATCATACCACTTTCTTCATATTCGGAAGATTACCCATTCCAAGGGCGTACCTTAGTTGAAAAGAGTCATAGCCCTTCCAGGGTACCTCTGATGTTATCTGAAAAATGAATGTATGAAAAACTGTTCCAGTGGCTTACCATGTTCAGAAGCACACAACCTACACTCCAGACATCAACTGCACGACCATACCCAATCAATTCTTCTTTCTCATCCCTGCCTCCATAGGTAACTACCTCAGGAGCCTTAAAACCGTAGTTTAATAATTCAACACTAATATTTTTTTTACCATGAAAGAAGGTGTGCCAACAAACTTCATTATTTCACCTTGCATTGTCTTATTGCTCCTCAAAGAAATCGATACACCAAAATCTCCAAGTTTCAACTGCTGCAGTTTATCAAAATAGATATTTGCAGGTTTTATATCTCGGTGGACAATCTGGAACATGCTAAGTAACAACTTGTTTCTAACAAGATTTCCAACTGAGCGCTCGTGAAGATAAACTACAGCTTGTAATAAGCTGTTTGTACATGTACGAATATCTTTGATGGCTATAGGACCTTCACAAAGAGTTGCCAAGTTGTCGAAGCATAACTCCATAGCCAGATGAGATTCTCCAGTCTGCGGATAATATTGATGATCGATGTATTTGACCAAATGCTGATGATCAAGTCTTTTCATTACTTCGACTTCATTCCGGAAAGTCTGGAAACAATCAAGTAAGTTACGAATATTTGTATAAATATTCCTTACGGGATCATTGTTGCTCATGTGCTTCATTATCTTGACAGCGAGCAACTTCTGCGATTTCAGATGTAAAGCCGTGAAAACTTCAGCTGTAGCTCCTTTCCCTGTAAATTGGATTTCGTGTTTTGTTAGGAACTGTTAGTTTTGCGGGTTAAGCACTGATAACAAGGATTATTTTTTCATCGATGAATTGTTTACAAGCTATAGATAAGCAAACTGACCAACCTAAAAGTTTGAGAACATGCCATTTAGGTTCCAGTAATTTCCTCCTGTCGTTGTCAAATTGCATGGTTTTCTTATAATCAGTGAGGACTTTTCCCATGGTTGCTTGATTCTGTTAGGAAGAATACTATTCAGACAGCTTGAAACGGAAGGTACCTTATTTGCTATTTCATTCTCCAACTTCTTAACCTTCTCAACGAAAGAATGAGCTCTTCCAGGTCGGATACGTTCGCCCTTATTATTATTATTCATATATATTAGTTTTTTCGGTTGTCGCGCCGACACTGGTCCTGGAGACCTGCAGCCCACAAATTGGATGTATTCTTTCACCATAATTTGCAGACTCTGAAGAACAACTTGAAACTACCCATAAACTTGAACGTACCTCAAACTGCCGATCTGTCATCAAATTCGAACATTTCTCCACTAGAAACAAGAAAAAGTTAAAAGCTGATCGAGACCACACAGGAATAGAGAGTAAGTTTTCTTTGATTGTGAGGAGATCGACTTCCATGGAATAATCAGTATCATTCGAGGAATCATTGTTCATATCTTTCACGAATTTTACCCAACTGAAGTTTCTTATCTTTAATTTTCGATTCGGAAGTTTCATACTTGTTCACAAGGGATAAAGTCTGCTTCAGGAAACTTTTCTGCTGCTCATCAGTACCGGTTTCAGCTAAAACTCTATAAGTTTCACGATGCAACTAAAAGTAGAACTTAAGGAACAAAATAGGAAGCAAAATACAAACCTGGAACATAGTATTGAACGCCTGGCGGAACATTGTTATTACATTATCACCGATGTCTGTTTCGTCATCAAAACCTGATTTCAAATCAGTAACGCTCTTCCATAACTTTTCAATCTGATCAAGCAAATTTTCCTCAAGAAAAATAACATTAGAAAGAAAAAAAGGTCATTCTCACTTGAGCAGAAGATATATGTGAATCTATGTTTTCGTAAGTAGAGCAACGAAGAGTTTTTAACTTGAGTATTTTTTTTAGACGGCTGTCGTTGAGTCCGAAAGTGCCGATGACGCAAACTATGTCCGTCTGAAATAAGAAGTTTGAACCAAAGCCGAAAAGGTCTTACTCTTAGTTGACGTAAAGCAACTAGCTCTTCTTCCTGTTGAGTTCTCAGTCTTTTCATGCTCCAGTTATTTCTGAAATTAGCGTAAGAAACGTGAACGGCATCAGCTTGTACCTGAATACACGGTCAGGATCAGGAATCACCATAAGATATCCTTTTATTTTCTTAGGTTTGCTACAATTAGACAAGCCTGCGTCACCATGAGATTTAAATTGCAAAGCTAAGTTATCTCTGAAATTATACGGTGAAATTGAAGGACATCAGGTTGCATACCTCGAAACACGGTCTGGTTCTGGAGAATCTACATGATCGTCTTTCATTTTCTCAATTTTGCTACAATTGTACAAGGACAAACAGAGCCCATCATAAGAGTTGGTGCTCATAGCTTCTTCATCTACTACAAGGGCAACACCACTGTGTCTATCTGTTTCAATCTGGAATTTTAGAGTTAATAGAGTTTAATCACATACACATACCAGATAATGGTTTTGTTGCAATACTTTTACAGCATGGACTATATTACAGCTCATTTCATAACCAGAGGCAATTTGTAAATGCGATGAGATTGTTTGAAGTAAAGCACATATGCGCTGAGATCTTTTTTGCACGTTGGTAAGAATTCGATTGTACTCTCGGCATAATTGAACTGCTTCATTATTCCCGCTAAAAGTTATAAATGAATGAATTGAAACTTGAAAAAGACTGACGAAAGCTGATAATTCCAAGAACGTTGAGTATCGGTAGTGTTGTTCGCGGTCTCAAAATAGGACACAACACATTTCTCAAAGAGATTCGACATGAGGCTCCTTCAACAATTCGTATAAACAAAGGTACAAGGAGAGAACTCACAAAAAATAAGAAGATTGGTAGTTAAGCCCCATATAAATATATCTGGATAACCTCAAAGCCACTGTCCATTCATTCTCCAGAACACTCCATAAATCAGCATATTCATCAGATATAGCACAAGACCAATTGCTCAAGTAATTTAAATAGTTCTGTTAGAAACACAATATAATCTAGTCATGATTTTGGGTATCCTTACAGTATATACATGTAGAAGGCTTTCGTCCAGCGAATCCTCATATTTATGGCAAAACATATCTCCCGTTGCATTTACAATCATAGCATAGTTTTTCCTAGACCTGTAAAAGGAAATAATGTGCATGAAGATAGAGAAATAAAAACTCACAATATTGTCTCCTCCACACAATCTCGGCAATCCTCCATGATAGCTTCAAGAATCAGCGGTTCTTGATGATTACTGTTTTCTAGCTTGATTTCATGCCTGTTGTAAATGAACTGAGTCCCTTAATGAAATTATCTCCCTACCTGACAGCAAGCCATTCAAGTATCAGCTCCATTTTAATGCCTACTAGGAACTTGAAAAAAGGTACATAAGTAGGCAGTTGCATCTCGCCGAACAGAATGCTGTTTGTTCCATATTTTGGAGCTTCGTCCGCTTGAAAACGAACTTTCTGTATAGAAAGATTAATTCGGAAGAACGGGTTATATTAACCTGAGAATCCGAGAGATTTATAGAATCAGCCTTCTTTTTATCAGCAGCCTCTGCATAGCTCTTAACTCTTTTCATGAACTGTGCCGATGTTTTTGTGATTGTGACATCACTTATCGAGCTGACTCTGCCCAAAAGCTTTTTCATACCCTGGACGCATGTATAAAATAGTATTCTTAACTTCGCTGTTCGAACTCACTTTGAGACTGAGTGAGCTCCTGACAACATTGCGAAACACTTGTTTTGCTGTTTTAATGCATGGACAAGGAACGAAGTCTTCATCATCAGAAGTATCCAAATTTTTAGGCCAAGGATCATTTGAACCTACCCGGAAAAGTGTTCGGAACTTAAAAGAAATCGAACTCAGGAATAATCTTTTTAAAAACGGATTACCTGTTCAATCTTGTCGTTCAGATCATTCACTGTATTAAGCCAAGCGTTCAAAACATTGAGTCGATCCTCCAGAACATTAATTTTGTCTTTATAGGTCCTAAATAGCAGAAAAAACTTGAGTTATTAAAAATAAAGCAAACGTTTTCATCAGAAAAGCTTTCATACTTCTCGTGTTAGGGAATAAGTTGGAAAATTTATCAAAGCTATCTAGCAGCTCTATCACTGAAAAACAAATTCTTAGAATTACTCTTTTCGAGTTATGATTACCTCCTTTCCTCACATCAATAATATGTAACAGATATACAGAATTCATAGATGACGACACACTTTTAGAAATAGGAACAGTAACTTGAAAGTTAAGAACACTGTTAATCACTGCTGTGCACTTTGTTTTTCTAGTTTCAGAGATCCACTTATCCAGATCAGCACACCCCACGGATGCAAGCGCACAGGGTCTAAAATAAATTATTTTTCTTAATAACTAGACATTCGCTGCTCACAGATCAGATAGATAAGTTTTGAGAGTCAACCAGAGAATATCAACGAAATCATATCCATTAATTAGAAAGCGCTAAAATTAAGTAGTTATGAAAATGAACCGATTCATTTCTCCATGTTTTCAAAAAGAGAGCGGTTGCATTAATGTCGCAGAACTTACTTGTTGTCCTTCGCATGCTCTTTTTGATATCCTATTAGAATCATCCTCAGTTTTTAATAAACTTTGTAATAAATTTTGCAACTGATATCTAGAATATGAACATGTTGTAATCTGTATACAGAAAGTAATCAACCTGTTATTTTCATTAGTCCTATCAGTCTTGGCGGTACTGACGATGTCATCTGAACGTGAATAACTATCTTCTCGTCTAACAACAGATAAAAAATGAACACTCTCGTTGTTCTAGAAAAATTGCATGCGAAAAGACACAAAACAACATTTGACTTACAGTACAAAAATCATCTTCATATTCATAAACACTATTTTTGCTCCTCCTGCCATTATCTGAAAATCGGAATAAAAGTTTACATCCATTATAAGCACAGTACATCTGTTTTTGGCACTAGATCTTCCTCTATATTTCTGCTTACACTTTACTATATTAGATAAACTCTTGGAGCGTTCCATTAATCTGAAACGTACAGTCAAAGTAATAACAATAGTCTACGTAAGAATCAGAAATAACTTAGGCTATGAACCCAATCGGAATGAACTGAGAAACAAAAATCACTTTCAATAAATATCCTTATTACCCGTTATAAATAAGTTATATTAATATACAATTTAGTACAATTCTTTGTTTTCATTACAAATTTGAGACAGTTTGCTCGGATGAATTAGAACTGGATCTATGCATCTCTTTAAAGCGGACGATAATGCCTGGTCAACCATGGAATTGACTACGACTTCGTCAGATACTAAAGGAGCTAAATGCCTTTGGAAATAACAGCAATCAACCTGAATGTGAAGTTAGGAATGCCAGATGTTCTAAAAATAACCTGAATTTGTTTTACAGCATCCTTGCTGTAAGTATCCAATCTAATATATTCTATGAAGGACTTCAGCATTATCTTCACGATTGCTGTCAACATTGAGCTCCGATTGAACTGAATGGAAGAAATGTCTCATTTGAAGTTTAATTATAATTACATGAACTTGTTGATGAAAATCTATGCGATCACACCATAAAGAATCTCGTGGAGCATCGGGTAAACGTCGAGAACGGTTTTCCTTTCTAGAATCACCACCGAACGACTCTTGAAGTAACCGATCGATCCCATCGAGTTGTTCAACAACATTTTTCACAACTTTGCTGAAAAGGAGTGAGAAATTGAATAGATCGAAGACAAAATGTCTTACGTGACACCTGTAGGAGAGGACTCTGTTACACTTGAATAATTACATTGTTTCAAAAGATACTCGCCAAGCTCCAATCCTCTGGAATGACTGTATGATTGAATCAATGTATGGCCACTTGATTTGAGAATGGCAGAAGCGTCTGTAGAATCTGAACAGCAAAGATAGCTTTTAAAAAAAAAGATCCGAGTTACTTGTTACGGATTCATTGCTGCCTAAGGCGAACTGTTCTTTACATAAACTTAGCAGATACAACGCCGACTTATTAGACAAATGATGAAGTGTCGTAGCGTAGATAAGCGTTAGCAAACATTGAAAACCTTTCGTTTTACTTTCTGGGATACCTGTTGAGAGCCAAACTTAATAAACATGATCTTTCATGACTCACCTATCGCGATAGCGGTGTCAGAAAAATCTTTAAAACTCCCTATCAGTAAGTTCTCATATACATTTTTAGCGAAATCATTCTGAAATTCTTCATGCGGCAGACTGGAGAAGGTGACATCACTAGCAATGAAGAGGAGAAGGTTTGCTAGTGCGGTCTAAAACAAAGATTTAGATGAAAGTAAAACAAAATCAAACTACTTTCACTTGGAATAGAAATGCGTGTTCTATTTTGATGGCAACACTTTGAACATCGGTAGTCTTATCAGAAACCGAATCCGCCGCCTGAATTGCATGATTACTTATCAATCAGGAATTTTAATTTCTTACTTCAACTAGAGCACGATAGACTTCGTCTTTGATTCGTTGTCGTGATATGGAAATCTCGTGCTTCGATACCTCTTTTATGAGAGCTACAGAGGAAACAGAACAGTCAAGCCCTACAAAAATCTCCTCAGATTTTTTATGAAGTGTAATCAAACCAGGTATCACATGAGGACAGGTGGACATCTTGCGATAATATCTATCGAGCGCTCTCACCACAATAGAGCAATCTTTCGGATCAGAAGTTGACAAAAATATCTTTTGAACTATGGGATAAAACTCATCCAGTTTAGTCTGAAGAGGGAAGGAAAAGATCTATATGATTCTTCTCTAAACGAACTGTTAGCATTTTAAGAAGAACGTCTTTGTCCTTCGGGAATAATTTTTGATGAAGATTTGCGAAAAGTGTTAAGTTCGGAATAAAGGAGCCACAAGCTCTGAAAAACAAATCACGTGACTGAGAGAAAAACGAAAAAAAAGATACTTGTCTATCATATCTAAGACATCCGCAGATATGCTTTCCAAACTGGATAAGTCGTTATTTAAAACAGTTTCCGCTACGTGCAAAAGTAAGTTTTGAACCTTGATTGAAAAAAATAGAAATAGGCAATGATTGGCTAACTGACCTCGGAAAGATCATCGGAAAGTACAAGTAATAGTTCGAGAGATTCAGTTACCAAATCCATTTGATCGGTCTTGCCATAGATAGTTTCTCTTAGCTTGAATTGAGTAAGTTCGGAGGAAGAATGAAGAATTTGATTACCTCCTTCTCCGTTGCTTCAATGATTTTTTCTGTTTTTTCCAGAATTATGGCGACAGTTGCAATGTCTTTGTACTTATGTAAAGCTTTCTTAGCCAGCGTGGAAATCCGGACAATATCAGAGAACTTTCTCTCTTCAAAGTGTGCCTGGAAGAACTTTTCAAAAAGCCTAACAGAACAGCGCTTACAGTTAACACGGAAGGTAAGTCGAATATGAATTGCAAGCTTCTCACAACTTTATAAGAACTTCCTAATTGCGCTAAGTCTTCCCTTTGTCCACATAATACACCTCCCATATCGTCTATTACATCTGATATTTGTTTCATACTACTCCCCAGTGAGTCCATTTCCTAGAATGATAATCATCATTTGAGGAAATTGGGGTTACGTAACTTACATTATCTAAGAGGTTGAATTCATCTTGAATTTTTCTTACAGTATTTGTAGCAGTCAAAAATTTATTATAATTCTCATATACAAGTTGATGAATGTCGGAGTCTAGTCTCCTGACCTTTACAGAAAATAAATAGTTTCACATATAACAGAGGAATAACATACCGAAGTCACCATTTCTTCTTCTTCCTTAACAAGTTCATCTAATGATTTCTCCCTTAGCTGTTGGGACAAGTACACATCAACATCAAAATCAGGACTAGTAATATCAGTTTTTTTAATGGGATGTTTAGACATCTGAAGTTAGAAGATTGAAGCTTCAACGAAGTAAGTCGACGTCGGTAGTCAACAGTAGTATTATCGATGGAGCAGCCCTCATTCGCAATGGAGCAGGACACGGGATAGTAAGCGTGTGAAGAATGAAACACTATAAATCACGATTTTGCTATTAATTTGTCGTTATGCTAAAGCGGGACTCATTGGATTAGATTTGAATTGTTTAATGAAACTGCAAAGAAAGTTATTAACTTCTTGAACATTTTCCCCGAATAATTGATAAGAACACAACCGTTCTGCATATTGAAAACCGAGAAAAGTAAACTGCTTGATTCAAGCAGTTAATGTATGGACATTACCCCTAGGACCAATTTGCATAATGTAATGTGATAGATTCACAACTGGAAAGATCAGATGTATTATAGCTCTTCCGGTAATTTCATTTGCTCCGTCGAAAAATCATCATTTTCCTTTCATAAAAATATTTATGACGGACGATTGAATGAATAAGAGAAAAATCAATTCATCCTATGGAGATGATGAAAGGCAAGATGATGTACGAGTCAATCTAATAACCTGGTTTTGTAATTTCTGAATTGCTTATTCGGAAATAGATTTCGAACAAAAGCAACTTACGTAAAGCCAATTTTATGTTTGAGCTTTTAAAGTACGAACATTCAATGTACCTTTTAGCTTAAGAACATAATTTGTCACAATTCTTTGTCAAATTAATAGAAATGCCATTCGAAAGTAATCAAATTGAATGTCATTTTCACTTGACCACAAATGCAAACAAATGCCTTTGGAAGGTAAAGTTACCAAATAATGCCAGTTATCATTCTATTTTCCCTAGTCCCTTGTTCTGCCTTGCCAACAGGAGCATATGGAAAGCTTCATGGATTTAGCTGTTTATAGCATTTCTGAGCATTTTCTTTTGAGATAAATGGATTGTTCAATTGGTTCATTTTCTGTTTAAACTATAAAGATTGCCGAAAGCTTACTTCCAACAGTCCTTCTCTCTTATCAAAGCTTTCAAATTCTTTTTTAAATTTAATAGAACATTGATTTGTCTATGTTTTAGTTTCATTTTGGCGTCATAATTGCTCAAGAATCCAGTCAATTGAACAACTAGTTACACCTGTTGCCCATACTTGGAATTTTTGAAAAACCACTTTCAATTTTGGTTTTTTTCTTGGGGTAATCAGTAAATAACTTATTTTTGTCGCTCAAGCATTTCCTTTTTTTCTTTCATCTTTGTAGTTTGTTAGAAAAATACATCCCATCTGTTTTCTACGAAAAATCTGTTTCGGAGACTTTGTTGCCGTAAATCGAAAAATGTGTTAACGTCTGAAGTTCTGTACTTTTCCAGTAACCATCTTATACTACCAGTCTTTTCGTAAGGAGAGGTGTTGAGGGAGATAGAGAGCTTAGTAGCAGATAGAGAAAGGCTATTAGAGAGAGAGGATATACGAGAAAGAAAGATAGAGAGAAGGAGAGAAAAAACGAAGGGAAAAAGAGTTCAATGAAGGCAAGACACGAGAACAGAACATTTTATTCAACACAATTCCAGCAATTAATTCTATTGAATATAGCATTGTTTTGCTAGAAGGTCCGGAAAAATTTCTATTTGCTCTCCTTCTTCAATTCCCATTTCATACCAATTTATGTGCAGGTTAAATGAGCTAGGTAAGCCACAAGTTGCCATTCTTCACAAGTTGTTTTATATTTCTTTTACTTATTCATCTTCAGCATGAATCTCAAGCACTCTTATGCACGTCATGCATAAGTTATGTGGGAATAAAGAAAAACTGTGTTTTTCCTTTAATTTTTTAAACTTTCAATTTCGTCCTTGCCATCCACATCATATACTTAGAGAGAAACAAAAATCGGACAAAGCGAAAGTTATGTGTGGATTCGCAAAACAAGTCTCTTTCCTTCACCGGATTTCCGGATTTACTCAGTTCTTTCAGCTAATTCTCTTCCATCTACTTTCCCCTTTCTTTTATTTTACCTTCTATGGCATGTGCTCAGTCTGTAAGTTAATTATTGCCAATGAAGGCACTTGAGGCTCTCGTGAAAATTTTGCTCCCTCCTCCTATAGCACTTTATCTTCTGCTTTTCCTATACACCCTTTTCCTCGTTCTCTTCATTTCTTCCTTCTCTCCCTTTCCCTCTTAATGTTTTCATTTGTTTTTAGTTTTTCTATCCTTTTATGGTTTTCAATCGTTTTTCTCGTTTTTCTTTGAAATGTTTCGAATGCTAGTTGGGTCAGTAAATGTCGTCTTTTCAACGTAAAGTCTCCTAATAAGCTTTGTTCGTTGTCTGACACATCTCTTGCTTCGCATCCCCTCACTCCTTAGTCCAGTTCTTCTAAAGGAATTTCCTCAATTCTGTCAAGCTGTTGGATTGGCTCAAGTCAACGACTGAAGCGTTAAACTTCACTATCGTCTTAATTGATGAAAATATAAAATATTTTTCATTTACTTCTCACATACATACATTATATTAACCTATTTATTGCATCTGTCTTGTTTTTCTTCGTTTTCAGCTCATAAAGAAAATATTTTGTCACTTCTTTCTGTATTTTCTCATATACTTATCTCTTCTCTTTTTTGTTCCTTTTCATCGCTTACAAAGTTAATATATGAATCTTATAAATAATATTTATCTTTTGATTCGCTTCATGAAGATCATCTCTCTCCTATGATTATCCAAGCTTTAACAAAAAAAAGAGAAGAGAAATAGAAGAAAGAGGGTAGATAGAAGATAAAGAGAGCTACTGAAAGAGAGAGAAGTAGTGTGAGGGTGATAAAGAAAGAGAAGAGTTAAACGGATGTACAGGGAGAGAGTAAGAAAGATTCCTGAAGGATAGAAGTAATGAAGTGTTGAAAAACATTCAATAATAATCAATTCTTTAAGAAAATGAAAATAAAAATTCGAAGCATCTCTTTGATTCTTGAAAACAAACGGAGAAAATTTAAGAAAAATTGAATATTTTCTTAATAATTATCGATTCATACACGTTGATGCTGTAACAGAGAATCTCGAAATTGACTAAAAGATTGGAGAGAAGCTTGTCATCGGCCAGTGAGAAGCATCTTCTTCTTCTCTCTCTCTTCTTTTCAATCGTATACCTGCTAAAATTTCCAAATGTTTTACTGGTTATCTTCCCTTCATCCGTCATATCAATAACATTTTCGTTTCTTTTTCACTCACATCTTCTCACCTATTCATTATATTTCTATTAATTTACCTCATAGATGTATACGTATAGTTCAATTAACTCATTCACACTCCTCACGGTCTTTTGCGTGTTGTCGTCAGTTTGGAACATTCTGTTATTCCTTTTCATCCCTTATTTATTTCCTTCATTTTCCTAAACCTATGACTTCTGTTTCTGAAAAGCAGACCAAATCCGGGTGGGACCTCAAAAATCTCAGCATTCTACTAGAAAAGACCTATCTGTTTTTCTTTTTCTAGTTTTTTTCGTATAGTTCGCTGTTATATTGAGGACTTTCCGATCAATACAAAAGTGTTTTGTTTCTTTTTTCTATTTTTTTTACAATCAATAAATGTTAATTGGCTTAATTGTTCTAAAGAGTTGCCTTGCATTCCATCATGCTTCCAACACATTTTATGTTTCCATCAGAAAGAAGTAAAAAACTTTTATATTCTATCTCAAAAAATATTTTTCCGACTCATCTTGTGCTCTAGCATGTCCACGTAAAACGTCAGATCATTTTGAAGTTTGCGAACGCAGTGAACGGTTGTGCTTTCTTCACCTTATCTCGCACAGCGCTTAACGTCATACGCTCTCTCTCTCTCTCTTTCTCACCATCCCGCCTCTCTCTTGCAAGATTTCAACTTTTTTTCTTCTAAATTTCATTGCTTAAGGTATAAGATTACATTAGATCTTCCATCATCAAATCTCTTCATAACTCTCGAAAGCACTTTGAGCCTAATAGTTCGAACCTTCATTTGTATGTCGTCGTTTAAAATAAAATACTCTGAAAATCATCGTTAATGGCCAATGGCGTTGACCATAATTAGGTTTATGGTGCTTTCGTTACAACTTCTTCTCCAGCTTGTGCAGACAAGCTTCTTACGTTGTGTGTGTGTGTGTGTGTGTATGTGTGCGTGTATCTGTATGTGTGTGTGTGTGTGTGTGTATTTGATGAAAAAGAAGACGAAAAAGGAAAAAGAAAGTTCTTTTTATTATTTTTTGTTGTAAAAACAATAAAGAATCTTGATGAAAATTCATATTTTTTCACTATTTCGTATTAGTTCTTTGGAATATTTGATCCAAAATTTTCTTTTTCTCTCTTCCATTATTACTTCACAAGAGTGTCAGATAACATTAGACTTGGGAAAAGGATGTCTTCAGGCATTTCCTGTCATACAGCTTTTCCGCTTTCTCATTTATCCTCAATCTTTCTTACTTTTCTATTTCACTGATTATATGCCCTTTAACTCGTTATTATTTTTTTTTCATCAATTTTCCTCTTACATTTCATCTCATGTTCGTTTTTGTTTCATTTTTGTTTCACAAAAACGGCTGAATGTTTTCATTCTCTCTTTCTAATCACCATTGAATATTCAAAAGGTAAAAACATTTCTTTTCATAACGAAAAGCAGGAAACTGCACGATCAATGAGCAATTTTTTCACACAAAAACGGGCAAATGTGGAGAAGCAAAGAGAAAGAAAAATAAAATGCAAAGCAAGTCAAGTTTGTCTCAAAAAAACAATGGCAATAGCTTATCATTCGCCTCTTTTAGAACAATGCAAATGAACGTAAACACGTCCGTGATCATCATTATTCGGATTGTGCTCTATGAGTATCAACGATCAACAAAGATCTCCAAATATATATATTTATATATTTATATATATATATATTGTTAAAAATAAAAAAAATCTTTTTTTTTCATAGTTTATAAAGTTTTTAATCAAAACCTCTCAAGAGCTCTTTCTCCCTTTCTCTCCAATATGCTGCTTCTGAAACCTCTTCGGCTTCTTCCTCCCGGCCATATTGCCAATTGAATGAGCTAAACGTCATTATTCCATACTAATGTTAATATAATCACATATTTCTGGATGGATTAGTAGTTTTCTCCCCCATTCCATCCTCTTTATAATATAATCAAACAGATTTTCAGGCATTTATTTCACTTTTTCTTTTGCTTGTCTTTTCCGTTCCTTTCTGTTCATTCAGTTGAAAACTTTGATCATCTTTAATGAATCACTTCAATTGTTTTTTGTTGTTCCTTCTTCACGCTTCTCTCTATAGTCCTTTTTGAGTTTCTTAAAATTATAATTTCAGACTGGATACACGACTAATCTATGCTTGTGGGCGGGCTGTGTAGCCTTGCTAACCTGCAAATCCACAGGTTTTCTTCATCTCTCAGATTCACCTCTTTAAGCTTTTTCAAGATATAAATCTTAGCTTGAAAGCTATTATTGCTCGAAACTTCAACAGGTAATAGCTATTTCATTCATTTTCACTCACAACTACATCTCTGGCTCTCTTGCAGTGATCTCCTGTTGCTGAAGCAAGGTGTTGCTTTCCTGCTAGGCTCTCTGATAATCGAACACTAGATTTATCGTGAATTAATTTCGTCCAGCTTCTAATAGTTCCCTTCTTACTACTGCTCTTCTGCATCGATTCCAGAAAAGGCCGACTCTTCTCTTCAGCTTATATTCAGCCGCAAGCTCCTGCCTTGCTTAGCTCCGCCTCCTATCCATCTCCTCTAGCTTCGTCCTTTCCCTCAACAGCTTCGACGTCGTTATTGTAGACACGAATACTTCATTATCACAAAAGAAGAAGATACACATAAGAATTATCTGCGATCACTTTGAGATTTGGAAGCTTTCACTTCGAAAAGCCAACTCTATCAAAGTAGAAGACATTCATCTGTCTTCTGTATATTCTCTAGATGAGGCTCGCGTGTGAGTCGTTAGCGGCTCGTTGTCTTCTCCTAATTATTTTATTACCTTTTGTATTGGCTAAAAGGAAATTGAAAGAACAAGAAATTATTCAACGAGTTCTAAAGGAATATGATTGGAGAGTTCGTCCCAGAGGCTTAAATGCATCATGGCCAGGTAAGAATATTTTATTTTATTGAATGTTTCTATATCTCTTACGCTGTATACCCTGCCAAAATCTTAATATCCATTTTTGGTGATTTTTTCGTTAAATTTTGAGGTTTCTTTCGGTTTTGTTTAGAAATTCGTTGAAGAAGCCGTATCTAAGGTGTTTTGTGTTTATAAAACAAAGACTTTTTTTTGTATTTAAGGAATTATTCATAAATAATATGGAAGCTTTTATTTTCATATTCACCTTACATTCCCTACCCTCATCATCCCATGATCAGATTCAATTTTCGGAAGGTTTTCATGAATTTTTGGGTTGAATTGAAACCTTTTTTCCGATGAATATCCAATGCTTCCCATTCATATTTCATCTCCGATTCAGCTGATTATCCAATTTCCGTTCAAAATTCTACAAATGCTCTCGATGAATGAAACCATCACAAAGCATGTTCTTTACGAATAATATTTGAGATCTTTTGAGCCTCCGTTCTGGAATAACTTCTTTGTTTAAGATAATCTTATGAAGAACTTCTATTTCCGCGAACGTAGTAGAAGGAAGAGGAGCAGTTAGAGATTTAGATTAGAAAAGAGATGAAAGTTATTAAAAACTTTTTTAGTTAATCATGGGATGATGATAAAGCTTCCAGAGAGCTTCTTCGCTTCGTATAACAAACAATGAACGAATGAACGAAAAAAAAACAGATGAGAAGACAAAATTCATCAACATCCAATAAAATTTTAAACAAATTCAGCTGCACAAGAACTTTTTTAAGATTTTGATAAAAAAAAAGAAAAAAAAGGAAAAGAAGACGATATTGACTAACGTGGTCTATGGTCATCTAAAATTACCTCATCTTTTCGTACACTCAAGAGTACTTACTTATGCTTTCTCATGACGTCTCCAACTTCAATCTTTGCTATTCTCTAAGAATTAAACTTTGATATCGTTTTTGTTTTTTTTTGTTTAACGCATTTTGCATCGTTTCAGATACTGGTGGACCAGTACTGGTAACTGTGAATATCTATTTACGGTCAATATCTAAGATAGATGATGTTAATATGGAATACAGTGCTCAATTCACATTTCGAGAAGAATGGGTGGATGCCCGATTAGCTTATGGACGGTATGAAGATGAGAACACAGAGGTATGTTTGAATATATATGATTTATGAAATTGTCTTAATTCACTAAGAAAGCTTTGAAATAACCTTTCCTCAGCTTTTCACATCCCTCTTTCTTTAAAATCTTATTTAAAATATGTTTGTGCTGATGAAATCTTCTTTGCGATTCTTCAATGAATTCTTTTTTCTTCTTATTTTGGTTTCCATCCTCAGTCAGTGTGTATTTTTCTTTCTTGAAACGGTAGAGAGTTATAAAAAAAAATGCAAAATGGACATTGTGAGTGAGTTAGCACTTGCTAAAAGCCTAAAGACCTTCTGAATTTCTAATGTTTTATTCAAAAGCTTTTGCTTTATGCTCTTGTGGTTACTCTCATCCTTTTTTCCTTCTCTTCTCAGTTTTAATAAAACTTACACACTCTTCAAACATTTTCTTCTCAGCCTTCTTGTCCATCAGGAAGTTTCGTTAAACAAATGATTGTCATTTCATTGCGGAAGTGACATGATATCCAATAAGATTAACAATTAATTTTGGAAACGAGAAAAAGAGAAAAAAAAATGATCAGAAAATAGACTTTATGCATAAGAAGATGTTTGCGATACAACCGTTCGTTACATGCCAACTCGTATAAATGAAAATCTGAATGAACCTAATTAGCATATTAGATAACTTGCATCTATTGTTTGTATACGTCTATCACCCAACATGCGAGAAAAAAATAATAATAATAACAAAATAAAAATAATTAAATTATTGAAAAGTAAAACCAATATTAAGGTTCCTCCTTTTGTTGTTTTGGCGACAAGTGAGAATGCTGATCAATCACAACAAATTTGGATGCCAGATACTTTCTTCCAAAATGAAAAGTAAGTTATATATTTTATTATTATTATATCATATCCTATCCATTACTCTCTTCCTCTCTCTATAGACATATAACTATACGTCTCTTGCTCACTTTTGCATTCTCATGTTTGAGATATACGAAAGCTTAACCTGTGTCTCTGTAATTCAATTCGTTGACCTTTTGAACGAAAAATTTTTACTGCGGAACTGCACCATTTCCTTCTTCTTGCAAAAACCAACAAAGAATCAGAAATTCTTGAGATTTCTAATAAATTTCCGGTTAAATTCGAGAAAAAAAAATTTCTTTTTCATTTTCAAATTTTCGTTTTTGCATATTTGCGGTTCCGATTGAATGGCTATTCGGCTATATTAATATCATCAATCATATGGATGAAGAAAAAAAAAAGCTTTGAATGATAGATAAATCTGTAAAGGAGACATGGCAGACAAGTGTTGCCATTGCGTGGGTGAGGGTGATGGTGATGCTGTGCTCATGGTTGCCATATACAAAAGAGCTTTTGTTTATAAATTAGAATATGTAAATGAGACTAAAAGTCTAAAATTGAATTTAAAAAATAATAATAAATAACAAAAATGGTTTATTATAGAGAAGCTCGAAGACATTTGATAGATAAACCCAATGTTCTTATACGAATACACAAAGATGGATCAATTCTGTACTCTGTACGGTAAGACAAGAAGCTCATAGATTACAAATAATAATGTATGTGATATGATGTTTCAGTTTATCACTTGTATTATCCTGTCCTATGTCATTGGAATTCTATCCATTAGATCATCAGAATTGCCTTATAGATCTCGCATCATGTAATATATTTGATAATATGCTTAACCATGCGGTTCATAATTATTATTCAGATGCTTATACTACACAAGATATTAAATATGAATGGAAAGCTACAAATCCTGTTCAACAGAAAGATGGATTACGTCAATCGCTTCCATCATTCGAACTTCAAGATGTTCTTACAGATTACTGTACATCAAAAACAAATACTGGTTAGATTACTATATGATTTTTAAAATTTATTATTAAATAAGCAAGAACATAATCATAACAATTGTGTCTTTGTCTTCATATTGTCCCAAAATAGTCTTTGAAGCTTTAAATGTTTGTGTCTACAGGTGAATATTCATGTCTTCGAACCAAGATGATACTTCGACGAGAATTTAGTTATTATCTGCTTCAGGTCCGCTTTTAACTGTCCTTCAATGTGTTTTTGTGTTTTTATGTGTTTTCATTTGTTATTCTTGAGCTAATTCACAAAATAATCCGATTTATAGCTGTATATCCCATCTTTCATGTTGGTTATCGTTTCTTGGGTATCATTCTGGCTGGATAAAGATTCTGTTCCGGCACGGGTCACATTAGGTTTTTGCATGCTATACTACCATTTTGCTCATTTGTCCTCTTCTTCCAGGAGTTACAACATTACTGACCATGACTACACAGGTATTCATCATCATATACTTTCCATCCTGATTTTATTCATTTTTCAGAGTTCTGGTATTAACGCTAAACTGCCTCCTGTCAGTTATACAAAGGTTCATTTCAATCGAATTTGCATTTTTCTATTTTCTCATCTCTCAGGCAATTGATGTGTGGATTGGAGTTTGTTTAGCCTTTATCTTCGGAGCTTTATTGGAATTTGCTCTCGTTAATTATGCTGCTCGAAAAGATATGACAAGTTGTGGGCAGCGAATGGTATCTATCCGCATCATAGTTGTTTATCTAACTATTTGCATAACAGCTACAACAGCTACCACAGGATGGAGGTTATCGCCCACTGGCCGGAAGTCAACCACGAACTTCATTTTGTTGTAAAATATTTGTTCGTCGCTATAAAGAGCGTTCAAAACGAATAGATGTTGTCTCTCGATTGGTATGTTACCCTTCAGGCGATGCGAAATAAAATAAATTTCTATTTTAGGTATTTCCAATAGGATATGCATGTTTCAATGGTATATCCTAATTAGGATATGAGTAGTTAATACAATAACTTTATCATTTTTCAGTTTTATATTGGGCTGTATATCTAATGTGATGAATGATTGAAAGCTCACAATCTCTTTATGTGTGTCTCTGTGTTCTTTGCGTCCTTTTTCCTTTTGTTTTAAATGTTTTCAACCAACACTTTGTACGTTTCAATGTTTTTATTTGTTAAATATTCAGAAATTAGCATATTCTATATATTATATACTATATATTATATAATTATAGGAGAATATAGCTGTGCTCGTGTAGAATTGCGACTTCGACGTGAATACAGGTGAATCTTTCATTTGGCTTTTTCGAAATATTAAATATTCATTTTCAGTTATTATCTTATTCAATTATACGTTCCCTGTATTATGCTTGTTGTTGTCTCCTGGGTATCTTTCTGGTTGGATAAGGCATGTTTTTCTTCTTTTTTTTTTCTGTTTCAAAAAAAAAAAACATATGCACAACCGTGTTCTTCTCATCATTTCAAAATTAAAATGAAATAGAATGGAGGGGAGAAGAAGAAAGTTCACGTGACGTATATGCCACGCAACGTTTACGTGAAAACACAAATTCAAATGAGAATTCGCAAAATTATTTGAAAAGCTCTCTCTCTCTCTCCTCTTTAACTCTCTCTATCTCTCTCTCTCCTTCTTTCTCTTTTCATAAAAACTTTGCAAATTTCAATGTTTTTGATGTTTTAAATAAATAAAAAAACAAAGAAGTTTTAGGATGCAGTGCCAGCTCGAGTATCATTAGGAGTTACAACATTGCTCACGATGACAACACAAGCAAGTGGAATAAATTCTAAGCTGCCGCCTGTTTCATATATTAAAGTAGACAAATAAAATAATTTTTAATAACAACTAACATATATTTGAAGGCTGTTGATGTATGGATTGGCGTTTGTTTAGCCTTTATCTTTGGAGCTTTATTGGAATATGCCATCGTTAACTACTATGGACGTAAAGAGTTTTTACGCAAAGTATGCTTCCTTCATCCTTAATATTATTAAAATATGTTCCTTAAATACAGGAAAAGAATAAAAAAACTCGAATTGATGATTGCGTGTGTCCATCAGATAGACCTCAGCTTCGATTAGATCTATCAAATTATCGTCGAAAAGGATTTCCTTTATGGAATCGGTAATTAACTTTTAGCAGATTTTAAGATTTTATTATACAAAATCTTTTTTTTTCTGCTCGCTCTCTCTCTCTCTCTCCTTCTACTTCAGCCATTTCATTTTTAAGTCTTGTTTTTCCACTAAAATTAAGGTTTTTTCGTTAAAAATGCATGGAACAAACATTTGAAGTTATAAAAAACAAGTGAATATACTATTAAATATTAATTATACGCTAATTATACGTATAAATAACAAATTTTTCAGAATAATGAACCTCATAGGTCAAAATGCTGATTTGTCCCGACGAGTCGATTTGTGTTCGCGATTGACATTTCCAACCTTTTTCACATGTTTCTTAAGTAATATTTAATGAATATTCTCCATAATCTAATATGCAAATTGCAGTTTACTATTACTTTTTCTACGTGTTGGGATCAGAACTACGTTTGAAACATTAAGGAAATGATGTACATTTGCTCATAAACGGTCTCCAAGTTATATATTATCCTTTCGTATTCGCTTCATTTATTCGTTGTCTTTTCAACGTTCCATATTATAATATGTATAAGCCATATAATTCATCTTCACATAAAATCAGGAGCTCAAATCTTAACCATTTGTCATTTACTATTGTTCAGATTTAACGATTCCAGATCGACTTGTTACTGTTTCTTGTACGTAATGTCTTCATCTAAAGTCAAGTGTGATATGTAAACGTTTGTTTTGGATTAAACAAAATTAAAAATAAAAAACAAATATTATTATTATTATTTTTATATTATAATAAATATTAAATATGTTTTCCTGTAGGGTATTATCTTATATATTTTTAAAAAATAATTTTGCAACATCTTAATCAACAGCATTTCAGCTATATGAATATGATTTGTTTGAAAGAATTATTAGCAGAAACATGCAGTGATTAGAATAGATAAGTAGCTATATTCTTAATTTGAAAAAGTTATTTTATAAAACTGTGAAATAAAAAAAGATCACCTGTTGATAGATTAATGAATTCTAACATGTAATAGTAGTCTTTTATCCTTTGAATACATACTGCATTCAAATAAATGTTTTAATTGGCCCATTTACACATTTTTTTAAAGCAAATAAAGCTGTATAGGATACGGCGGTATGAGTATGATGTTCAATGCGAAATCATGAAACGTGTTCACTTCCATAATTTTTTTGGTAAACAAACAAATAAACATCAACATACATGTTTATACATAATTATATTAATTTATATGTGTGAATGCAACCGCTCAACGTGCTCGCATGCATGTAAATGACTTTCCTTACGTGAATGACGTAACGTGACTATGCGCACTGCCGTATGCAAATTATGCATTGAGAAAGTAAATAATTTATTTTGGGTAAGTTTTTATTCCCTTTTTTCACATTTCATTCAATGCAACTTTATAAAATTGAAAATTGAAAATTTTGCTTGTGAATGTTGAAGGATTGAAGATGATTAATTGAATCCTTTCTTGATAAGTAGATGAACATTCTGCCTAATCCAGCTTGAATGAACTTGTCTCTGAGATTGTTATTCTAATTTATATTCTTTCTTTTAATGGTTCACAATGCTGTGTGTGTTCATCCCTCTCATCCACTTCGTTTTTGGACAGTTTGTGATAAGTATTTTCGAAATATGATCATTTTAAGAAAGTGAGAAGAGGAAAGATGGCTCTATTTTCTGGCATTCTGACGGATTTGTATGTGTCTGTAGATTAGCTATGCTTATCTGTGTTGTTGGTTGTTGGGTGAGGACGAACGGGTCGACTAAAGAGAGGGAATAAAAGATAGGAATAGAGTAAAAGAAGGGAGGAAGAGAGGGAGAGAGAGAGAGAGGGAGGGAGCGAGAGAGAGGGACCGGAGAGAGGGAACGAGACAGTGAGAGAGTAGAAAAGAAGAAGGCTCTGCTATAACAACGATGAGAGTGAATAGACATGAAGAAAGGAGCCTAAGCTAGCATTAGGGATGCTAGAGAGGCAGGGATGGCTTAGAGATAATTGGAGAAAAAGGCAGAGCATTTCTACTGGTCAGAATATTGAAGAGAATAGAAAGCTGTTTGAGAGATAGCTAGCTATGGGATAGGATTGATGAAGAAATGAAAGAATGCACATGATGGGGAGTGTGAAAAGAGCATAGATGCCATTATGAGAGAGAGATGAGGAGACACTAAATGGCAACCTAGTGCTGAATCAAGCTTAAGAAGAGAAAGATACAGCCTCAAGATACAACATGTGTAATTGAGAGTGTGTTAGGGAATAAGAGACGTGTGAGTCCCCTGGCCCATGGCCGGCGTCTTTTTCGTCGTGTCCGTCTGCATCCGATCGACGGCTCTGCTTCTCTAGACTCTCATAGCCTGAGGGCACGGAGAGGAGAGCGCACGTTTGGTCGACTGCGGACGGCGGAGCGATTGCAGCCGAGAGCCAGCCCCAACAGCAGCAGCCCCCAGTCAGCAGCAGCCATAGCAAGCAGCAAGCAGCGTCAGCTTGACGACGACGACGATTCGCAATTCTGGAGATCGTCAATTCTGCTATTAACTCGACGTTCAAAACAAAGTGGTTTCTGTTTTGTTCGTACGGATTATCACACGATTCTTCGGAGCTTGTCGACGTTAGCATTCGCAGGCAGTGCTACAACCTCACGAAATTCATCGTGAGCTTTCGTAACTCCACGACGCAACTACGAAAACATTAATTGACTTGTTCCGGACAGCAAAATTCTCTACTCTCCATCATTCTCTGTATTCGCTGCGCTTTTGAGAAGGAATCGGAACTGTATATTCACGTATTCTTTCGCTTGAAATTGGTATTAAAAAGCTGAAGCATCGTGTGAGATAACGACGTAGATCGATGCCTCACGGCTGTTTCTTTTATTCTACACCGAGCTCGACGACATCGTCAACGTCAGACTTATCGACAGCTTACCGTCGACGACGACGAAGACAGTACCATAAAATTTCATTAGAAAATCATAAAATCAATTCGCTTACATCTATATGGACTGGAAGTAATTGGACGCTGCCAGTCAAGAAGACTATGTTATTCAATTATTTGCTGGTTTTTCTAATTATACCTAGCGCTTATGGTCTATTTCCACCTTTTCTAACTAATCCTCGACCGCTGTCTGATCTTTTATTCGCTCTTGATAACCCCACCGGATGTGGAGAAGTAATGCCAGCTTATGCTTTATTACATACGGCTGTACAACTGCGTTATCCTCGACTATCTGATTTGGCACAATTTTTTGCCAATCATCCAACGTCTTTTGATGCCAAATTGATAACAAATTGTACATTTAGTCGTGAGCCTCCGATTCCTATATATGAAAATACCATGAGATCAGCTTCACCATCGCCAGCGTATGGTCTTCAATATACATGCTCAGAGAGAGGAACATTACCTGGTCAATGGATTCCAACAATTGTCTTTCCGTCTCATGATCCAAAAAATGCGAATCAGAAAGCATATCTAACTCTGCGTCTTAATTTCGAGATTGATTTATGTCAGCCCGTTCATTGCAATACAAAGGTTAGTCTGTCTTAACAATTTTACTCTTTTTTTTACGAATTGTTTGTGTTTTCGAGGTTTTCTTAAATTTTTATATGAAACTTACGTAAGATTCTTTCCGTTTTTTTCATTTTCTTCATCTTCACTGCTCAGATTTTCGACTTTTTGTGTTCCGAGACTTAATTTCTTTTATTTTCTTCTTTCTTTGTCTTCAATCGGCATTCAACTATTCATTTTTACTTCAAATTGGTGTTTTATCTTATTAAACTATATATTATATTAACTATACATTTATTATATTTTACCAAATCACCTTCGTTTCGCATGTTTTGTCTTCACTTGTAACATCAAAAAAAGTTTTTTCGGGCTCTTTCACGATCCCAAAACTACCACATCCCGTGATTTTCCGCATCTGTCCTATATTTTTGTGCAAATTTAAGCTGCGAAAAATTGAATTTCACCGAAACGCGTCTAGCTAGAGAGCAATTTCGGTCGTCGACAAGTGTGCTGAGCGCTTTCCAGCTCCTCATTCGTCTGGAATGAGAAATCGATAAACGCGCTCTACTGCCAAATTTGAGAGGGTAGATAGAGGGAGAGATAGAGACAGGAAGATAAAAGATAGATTTGAAGATTTTTATTTTTATTTCATGAGTTCATATGAAAAGATTATTACAATTTGTGTTCGTAAAAAGTTTTCGAATGTATATACATATTTGGGCATTATAAGAAGACACTCCTAATTAGGATTGAAGCTTAAAATGTCAAGTAGTTCAATGATTTCGACGAAATACTAAACGATTCATATATTACCCAATATGAAATAGGAATAGAGATCTTTCACATTAAGGGGAATAGAAACCTCTCTGCTTCTCTTCTCGTTGAGTATTTGAGAAATGTAGTCCATGCTCTCAATAACGTCATCATTATAATCAGCAGGTTCAATTACTATTCTCTTTTTTTATTCCTCTAATAAAATGTACAAAAGTATATTCCAATCTCAATAACATTCCTTTCCTTCACCAACCATATATTCTTTCAGAAATATTATTTGTCTCTCTTCTTCTTTAACAAAAAAAAAGAAAAAGAAGCAAAATGATAGATTTTAATCATACATGTTCAATGAAGAGTATATTTATAATGAAAAATAAAAAAAAAACAAAAAATGAAATAAAAATGTTTGGCCCATGAAAGGAGATATCAGCTCCAAAAAACCTCTTTTGACATTTCCCTCTCGACTAATTCTTCCCCAGAAGTCTATTAATCCCATGTGAACTATCGTGACAAAATGCTTGAATACTCCTCTAACAGCCCATTTGCCATAAAATGAAATATTTGATCGAAAAAAATCAAAATCTTGCTTCTACTTAAGTTTTCCTTTTTCTACTTTCCCTCCACTTTATGCTCTTTTTGCTTCCTTGCCTTCAGATCTACTACCTATATATGGAAAGCTTATAACTCTGCTCAAGTAACTTTTCGTCAATCCAACATTTCAGAAGCTCTCTTTAGTCTTACAACATTCCATATGAAATTGGTTAACGTCTAGTCTTAATTCAACAAAATGAGCAGAATAATAAGCATCCAATCGAGTAAATATGTCGAGATTCCATATTAAACCAATTATATGTCAGTATAGTTGTAAGCTCAAATCTGAAAAAGCTTTTAAAAACAATAAATAGACTCTTCTATCTATCTCCCTCTCTCTCTCCCTATCTCGCTTTATCGAGCCCACCGAAAAAAAACATGAAGGTGTTGGGAATCACGGAGAGAAGTCTCTTCTCATGAGAATTTCCCATGTGTGCGCAGAGGAAAGCCCAGCAAATGAAGTTTGCTATGTAAAAACTTGGATAAGCAACTTTCCTTTCATTCCTACAAATGCTTATACATAAAACATTATATTTACAGATTTGTTAATAAGACAGAGTACAAGCTACGAAAAAGTGCATGTACAGTGAGTGAGAAGAAAGGTCACGTGCTTTCGCGTGATTTGCACTTTTTCGATAAAATTCTAGAAATCTTCAGAGCTCACGTAATTTGAGCTAATAAAGCGTGAAATATGTGCATTTTTTTGTAGAATTATCTAGAGTCGCAGCCATCTCTTATGGTCATCATTAACTATATTTCGGCAATTCAGCCGTTATTATACGGGATCGACACCAGTCAGACTAAATATTAGTCGGTTGTAACTCCAACTACATTCTCTTCAAACTTAATAGCAGCCAGTAAATGCTGGAGTAATAGTCGTTCTCATCATCATCGTTGTCGTCGTCGTCCTCCTCATTCTCGGTTTTCCCGTAATCATCCCCCCACCCACCTCTTCTCTCTCTTTTTCTCTGAGCTCTCTATAACACTCTCTTATATATCGCCTAACGTCATTTACCTCTTTCAAACAATTCTCCTAATAATCGAGTAGTAATTGGGCTCATCAACAACTTTCAAATTAGTTGGATTATTTTTGAGCAAGTTTCATAGGAAATCCATGTCTCACCAAGATGTTTCGAATTCCGATTGAGATTGAATCTGGTGTTATTTCAGCTTTAAAAGAGGATTAAAATAATGACACTTCTGTCCATGATGAAGGTTATTGTGCTTTAAGCACGTAGTATTCGTGACAGTAAATAAGGATGCGACAATTTTTACGGCAACAACAATAGAAAATTGAAACCAAAAACTTATTATAATTAGCTTATTCAATTTTCTCTCTTCTCATATCCTTTTGAATATTTTGTCATCATTCATGTCCATATGTAGACGTGGTGTTGAAGAAGACAAAGAAACTGACACAACTGAAGCATCAAACTCATTCGTTATCCCCTCTCTCAACATCTCCAATTTCTCTTGTCTCCATTAGCCATACACATTACCCAACTTTTAGGCAACTTTTAACGTTACTAATCAAGAGAAGAATAAAGCTTTTTTCTCTATTTTAGGCCTATTATCTAGCTTTCGTACTTCCTCATTTAAATCAAAGATGCATGTTCTGGCTATGCACTTCGAGAAACGATTTTTGACTTTGATGGATAGATTTATTTTGATATGCGGGAAGGGAAAACATAAGTTTATTCAATTCGAACTTCACGAGAGACAAGAGGGGGGAGAACAGCATTTCACGTCTTCGCGCTTAAAACAACTCAAGTTTCGGATCAATTTACAGCTTTTAGGAAAACAATTCTCTTCCTGATGTTATAACATCAAGAAATTCTTTGTTTGAGCCTGAACATCTCAATGAAACCACATCGACATTAAGAATTGAAGAGCATGGCATCCGGTGGCATGAATCTCTCCCTTTCACTCGTTCCTCTACTTTTCCATGCGCATACTCTCATTTCTTTGCTTTTCCATTCTTATTCTCTCTCTGGATTCCTTTACATCTTGTCTTTTACACACTCTCCATCCCTCCTCTTTGCTTCAAATCCTATAACCCTGATCTTTTGCTAATCGACTATGTAGCGTGGAGCTTTATAGAATCTGTTGACAATGAATAATGCATGTAGCTCAAATGTGGATTGGGTTGGAAACATCGGTAAAGAAATACAAAATCTTACTAAAGGGGATAGAACATTTTTAATTTTCGCTTCAAGACACATTACCTAAGATCTTCTCATTATTTATAATTAATTCATTATATCCATTCATGCGATCTCCAATTAATTCCCTTACTTTTAACTTGTTTTCATCGATCCTTCTTTATTAACCGCTTGTTACTTTTCTTGTTCGCATCGAATGCCTTCGCCGACGAAACAAAAAAGTTATCAATAGCAGGCCGCCCTCTTTTGCGGACGAAAAGGGAGAAAAAGAAATTAACAGCAGTATTAGGTGGTCAATGAATATTCATTAGAACATACTAACTTATATTTATTCATATTTCTTGGAAGTTCAGCTGAAATAGTTGGAAAGATGAGATTTCGTGGAAAAAAAAGTTCTTTCTTATGAAGAATGAGACTTGTTTTTCCTTACTAGTGTAACTTCATCATGTTCATCTTTCCCTTATGCTTTGAATAGAGACCTCGAAAACAGCAAATATCATCAGAAAATAGGGAAAAAAAGAAATAAAAATATTTTTAATAATGTGATTTCAGTGTTCATGGACTGTTCATTATGGCCTACGAGTGCTAGCCAAGCAATGTTGTGATGACAATTCAACCCTCTGTCGGACGGACATCGAACACGGCGCTTTTTTTGCTACAAGTAACATTCGAATGAATATTGAAGTTTTTCTAAAACTTCTTATTACAGGAAGGCATATGTTATTGCTTTTTAACGCTTTATGTGCTATTTCTTGTATTTTTCTAATACCTGTTGTCTGGAGAGAACGACGAAGGCAACATGAGGCACGTGGATGGGCTCTTATGGAGCTTTTCCTGTTAGGAGCCAGTATTCTATACTCCATTGTAAGTATTTGTGCTCTTTAGAAATCTGTTTCAATACTTTCCTCTCAAAACTTCATTCACAAGCATTTGTAAGGAAACGCTTTTGCTATGTCCCGTCTCATCTTCTCAAAATTATTTTGGGAAAAATAGTTAGTCATCAATACAATCTTGATACGACAACATCTCCAATTTTATTTCGAAAATAAAACAAAAATCTTAGGCAATTGCCCCAGTTGAAACGAACACAATAATGATAAAATAGTTCTTCCGAGGGAGAATTTAAAAATTTTTTTCTTCAATTTTTTACGAAGTCTTTTTAGCTCTTGTTGGATTGGCTTTCTCCACCAGAGATGGGTTGTTGTATTGCTGTGTGGTTGAGGCAAATTGGATTTAGCATCTTCTACGGAAGTATCGTTTTAAAGATTTATAGGTAAGACATTTTTGAATGAAAATGTATTTTTGAATTAGAGAGGGGAGAAGAAAGTGTTCTTTCCGCTCAAATGTTTAGTGCTGAAGTATAACACAAAGGCTAAAGTTGAGAGGAAGAGGTTAAACCGATAAAATTGATGAATGATCAACGAGCATCTCCCTTTGTTTATCAGAACTTCGATTGAACAGTTTTCAATAGAATCTGAGTTTTATCTAACTCAAAGCTGAGGGAACCTATGAAAAAACATTGAAGTAACGATTCGAATGAATGATAAGTCAAGAATATTTCTTACTATTCCTGACAACTTTCATGAACACTTGCTTTCGATCACTCTTAGATCTGATGCAATTATTGTGAAGTAGAAACGGGACATGTAGATTATTCAGTCATCAGATGTGGGCTTTTGCTGTCTCTTCTAGCTTATTTATGCTCAAGCCGTGCTGTATATCAACCACTGCAGCATATGCAGCTTAAGAAGCATTGAAGGAAAGTAGAAGAGGTCGTCCGTGCGCCAATTGGATTACTCGCATCCCCGGAAAGGAAAAGCATTCACATTTGAGTCTTTTAGAATAAAATTTATATAGATTTGACTAGAGGGAGGAGAAAATACCTGAATAAATACCTATAAAACAAAACATGTTAAAATAACAGAAAATGAGTACAACTTTACATCATTCCAGGAATCTGCAGGAATATCGCGTTCGAAAAGCACAACATGTCTCAGTAAGAGAAAAAGATATGGTTAAATATTTGGCAGCCATGTTAGCCTTAACAGTGACAGGTTGGAACAAACTAATGATTTCAAAGAAGATTACAATTTGTTCAGGTTTAATGGCGTGGACTGTTGGATCCTGGGGGGATCCAGAGTTGTGGAGGACAGCATGGCCTCAGTGTCTTATGCAAGGCTGGCATTTCATTTGGCACGGCTACGAAGTTCTATTTCTTCTGTATGGAATGCGTTTATGCTACAAAGTAAGTATCGATTGCTATTCGTTTCGACACTACTCCAGCCACAATTCATTTTAACATATTTTTACTCTCCGAGCGTGTGCATACGGCTTGATGAAAACAATCAATATATCCTTACTTTACAGGCACGCAATAGTGATTGGTTAGAACGATGGCAGTTTACAGTTGCAGTATGTTTAGAAGCAGTCATCACTTGCGTAGCAAATATAATAAGGTGCGTCATGCAGAAATTCTTGAAATATAACTTTGCTATTTTAGATATTGGATGCGAAACTCAGGTCATAGTGACACACTTTTCACCGTGTCTTTCGTGCAGTTACAACTCACTGTTTCTGTTAACATTGTAATCATTATCGCGCCAAAATTCTACCTGGTAAGCAAGTGAACTAACTATCAAATTAACATAGCTCCAGAAGGTTTCCGGAGAATCAACCCGAAGGTCCATGACTCTTGGCGGCCACTCAGGAAGGGCTCATCCTTCATTGGCCAAACTTAGAGACAATATATTGAATGGTACCATAGACTTCGCAGAAGTTCCTATTGTAGATATGAACCCAGAGGATATCAGAGTAACCGATATAATAACTGAACCAGAAATCAAATTCTATATTTCCAGGCCGAGCTCAAGAGGGTTTATACACAACTTAGGATGTATAAACTAAAAAATCTCTATCAGGACAACCCTCACATCAGTAAAAAACGTGGAGGAAAAAAGTGGAGTGACAAAACTGGAAAAACGAGAAGGATATCTATACCTAATTGCTCCCCCCAGAATAAAAGAATAGAGGAGGACGAAAAAAGTGATCTAACTGTTGAATCTTCACCTCATAATGTCTATCTTAGTACTTATAAGCTCCAATTGGAGCCAAACCATTCCGTTCGGGTATAATTTCACTTGTATTGACTCAACGTGATCATTTCTATCTATATTAATAAAACAGATTTATATCCGTTTTTAACAAACAACAAGAAATTTATGGACGTGGACCGGGGGCTCCTGGGCGAGCTTGGGCGTTGCGTTGTCCGAATCTTGGGGGTGGTTGACGATCCTTACGAGCCTCACGAGATCTGTTGCGGACGACCTTGCTGTGGATGGCGCAGGCAACGCAATAGTGGAGCTTGTGGTAGAGCTTGGGGAGAACATACTCTGCAAATTACGAGAATAAAAAATGGAAAAACTCATGCCAAGCAGTTATTAAGCTGCGATTAAACTAAGAAAATAGCATGAAACACAAATTATAACCAAATAACTCATAAGAAATAGTAAACTTACGGGTGTATGCGGAAGCATCTCCGATATCTCTAACGGCAGCAGCCTCAACGATGTTTCTGACGACAAACTTCTTGATGGCCTTATCCTTAGGGCAGCATCTTCCGCAGTTAGTGCAGCGAATGAAACGGACGTGTCCGCGGTTCTTCTTGTTTCTTCCGTGATTCCTGCGCTTGACAGTCATGGTAACCCTCAAGAATAAATAAATGAGTTCCACATTTAAGAAAACAGAAAAATGCGACAATCCAAGCCTCAATCGAATCAATAATACGGATTCTCCGTTAATATGAATGAATAAAATTCACATATATACTCAACATATTCTATCAATACAAACATAATTCAAGAAAACACAAAAATATACATTAGGGTTTTTGGGACTTGCTGCGAAATTATTTGAAAATTAAAGGTCTAACTCGCATCTAGCAGTGCCCTAGAATCGTGGGAGGACCTTTAAACGCAGTTGTCTACTTTGTTGTATTAGAGCATTCTTCATTCCAGCTCCGATCGTTTTACATAAATAATACTAATCCAATTATTTAAGTTTTTGGAAGTCTCGACATTGTTAACAAGTAAAATGTCTTGAACATCTCCGAAACACTTCTAATGAAATGCTTAAAAAGTCACGTTCAGCTAATTTGATACTAGAGTCTGAAATAGTAATTTGACGAAGTTTGAATTTCATAAAGCTTCATTTCCTTTTTTTAAATTAAGGATTGGGGTAAATTGGTACCATTAGTATCGGATGCTTCAAATAAAGCGTTTCGAGACCAAAAGGAACTATATGACATCTCAAATGCGTTGTCATGACAACGTTTAAGCGACGAGTTAGTTGGTATTTGGTAATATAGTAATTATGATCGATACGCTATCATCGACTTTCTTATGTATTCTAGCTCATAGCATTATATTATTGATCACTTTGTTCGACAAGGTTGGTTGAAAGATCGAAAAAAAGTAGTTAAGAATGTTCAGGAAGATATTTTATTGGCTTCGTTACCACCGAATAGTTGGACCATTAGTGAGGAATCACGAGTAGGATTAACTGTGCTCTTGATTGTTGGCCTGGTAATGAACATAGTGGAGTTTGGTTATATGTTCCAACGAATGCTATCCCCTCCACTTGCTATACTTTCCATGTTCACCCATTCATTATCCTGCCTCCTTCTCTTGAAGTTTATAATAGACGCTCACCCAGTCTCTGATTTCTTGTGGATATTCATACTACTATCATGTCCGAACTTTCTTGCAAGCACTATCAGTATTGCTAATACTTTCAAATTTCGTTGATTGTTCTATGTGATATGAAGTAATTATATGAAGAACTTGTTTCAAAAAAGGAAAAGATCAGCAGCATCATCATCGATAGAGCCAACCAGAAAAAAATCGAGGTTGGATATGAAGTAAAAGGAATTAATATTAACAGACAGAACACTATGGTGCACTTCAGTGAAGGTGTGCGTACAACATTAGTTACGATCAGTGAAATGAATGAGCATTCTATCAACACAATATGAAAACGGTTAGCAGATCACTGTTGATGACAACGCACGTTTCCTCCCTCTTCACCATGATATTGATGATGTGTTTGAGTTGGTGTTATGTCTACCAAATCCATGATTTTTCCAACACTTGCGTTGGCTGGTGTTTTACCTGCAATCACTCACATTTAAGTGTGCTAAACCCAAACATACATTTGTCCGGAAGAAGCTCAGATAATCCGTTTCTAGATTTGGCATCCAAAGATACTGGGAAATTCACTTTGAAAGATATCCATAAATCTCCCTATAAACATTGTGTGAAACATGTAAAGTGAAATGAACTCACTTTTTCTCCTGAGCCGTACTTTCGTGGCATACCCTCACCCTGTATAACTTTAATGCACTCATGAGGAATAACCTCTCCTGAAAAGGACAGTTAGTTTCGATCGATAGAATCAACATTCAAACCTGGTAAGCATGTGTAAAAAACTTCCCGGTCATCTAATGTTTTGAAAGACCTGCTGAAACCACAGAGAGCTTCGACAAGCTGAAAATATTTTCATTTAAGGTGAATGACTTCTCGCAACTACCTCGATTGTAACTTCCATGACGAGATTATCACCTTTTCTAGTGAAAACTCGATGTCTCTTAAAATGAATATGTAATGATGATACTGAATAAGCAGACAAACCAATTCATCAATAACAATAACAACATTTCCGGGACTAATTGAGCTATCAAGAGTCTCATCTCCTTTTCCTTCGAAGCTGAACTTCTCGTCATCTTTAGTACCAGGATGAACCTCGACTGTGATAATTTCTTCTACGTGTAACTAAAACTCATGCTTTGTGATTTACTAGAGAAACATTCTTACCATTCTATCACCATTACACTTCTTACATCTATCCTTAGGCGAATAGACGGTACCTTGTCCAGCACATTGTTCACAAGTAGTTTGCATGGTTTGGGCTATACTAGGAGCGATATGAAATCTTCTCGTTATTCTTCCTTGGCCCTTGCAACCAGTACAAGTAGTAGCGGTTTTAGATCCTTTGCCATCACACTCTCGGCATCTCATATCTCTGGTAATCTGGAAACAGCAAGAAACTTGAAATAATCATTGCTGTGCTCATACCTTGAGCTTCTTAGTGACTCCTGCATATAATTGTTCCAATGACAGCTTCAATGAGTGCACAATTGGTCTTACAGATGGTTCTATAAATATTTTTGTTCGCTATTGTGATTGAGTTCACTAACTTTCTCTGGGTCCTCCACCACCAAAGAACATATTGAAGATATCGAATGGATTGTGACCAGCAGGTCCTCCTCCACCAGCACCTTGGAGGCCTTCTTCACCTGCTTCATCATAAATTTCTCTTTTTTGTGGATCAGACAAAACATCATAAGCCTGAAAGTAACGTGAGGGGAAGATCGATAAACGTATTATACCTGAGAGATCTGTTTGAATTGCTCACCACCCTCGGGATTTTTATCAGGATGATACTTTAAGGCTAATTTACGATATGCCTTTTTTAAATCACTTTCCGAAGCATCTGGACTAACTCCTAAGATGTTGTAATACTTAGTATCCTTCACAGTCTTCGGCATTTGTTTAGGAGAACCCTTTAAGAAGCAAAAAGCCTAAATAACCATTTTTAATAAAAAGAGGAACAAATATTAATTCGAAACAACAATACGGATTAAAAACGAATTTTATACAGATATATAAATAATATAATATATAATATATATACATATATAGTGGGGCTAATTCTACGAGAATATTCTGGTAAAATTCGAATGGGTTGGAGCGGATTTTAGCCATGTAGCAGAGTTTCATGCTAAAGCTAACGTTCAGCAGAATCATCGCATATTATTAAAACAGGAATGAAAGTATTCAAGTATTCATTGAATAAATACAAATCAAATGTATGAAACAGAAAAAAATTTTTTAGAAGAGTTAGAACAATCACGTACGGAACGAAAGAAATTTAGTATTACGCACGGTTATTACGACAAAAATTTGCCGCGCTCTACGTTCGAAACACAAAAGGTGCAAATGGTGGAAAGTTAGTCAAATGTCGCTCTCGTTTAATAAGAACTTTCTCGTTTGAATATGGTTGAATTATTTCGGGTATAATCGTCTACAAATCCTGAATGAATCTGAAAAGTTTTGAAAAAATTTGCTTTTTTTCCAAATATTTTGAGCTTCTCATAGTACCCAACTGTGGAAATGTTGACTAGAGGATTATAAGAACCCTATTATATGGCTTCAATGAGTAGCTATGATTGAAAATGCAAATCTTGGGATTTGTGAAGGTGGAGGACGCTGTACATACTGAACATCATTCGGAAGGCAGTGAGTACACAGAGCGGTTGCATTCAGTTAATCTTGCAATAAAACGGTTATGAAGCTTTCATGCTCTAGATTTGAATGGAATGAACAATACCGAACGTTTTGAAGATGAAGAAATGAAGTGAATCGCCTCAACTTTTTACCCAAAGTCAAATACTATAATTCCAGCAATACTGGAAGATGCGCAGCATAGCATTAGGAGGAAAATGTCATTCAAATATGGAATAAACAGAGAAATCTTCTTTTTTTTCTGAAATACACCACCGATTCTTCTTCTTTTTTTTTCATGTTTATGATTTCTGGTTATTCTTTTAGTATCGTATGTAACTCTGTTGAAACCGAACAGCATGTTCACGAAGTTTAATTGTTTCGTACTTCAGATAATTATTAGGAATATTTTATCAATTGTAACATCTATCAGAGTTTTATTTGAATGCAGGACGTTTGTTGTCCGTTGAAGGTTCCCAAGGGATATTCTCATAACCGCTCCATTGCCACTGAGACTTCTTCTACATCGAGCTCATCCATCCCCAACTTTTGCTCTTTCTTCAAAATATTGTTTTTCTTCAAATGAATATATCGACAATTTTAGTTCACTTTATCATCACTTCAGTTGGAGAAGATCGTTTCCCTAATCTTGTCTATAATTTTGAATATTTTTGAGAAACCAATCACATTTTTCGTTTCACTAACACAATCTCTGTTTTTTTCTGGTCTGCGTGAGCCAAATCGTCTCGTTCTCTAATCACATTTCTATTGGTTTTCTTGTTTTGCCCTATCTTCCGCTTTATTCATGCGCTGAGTATTCAAAGGTGGAATCCATGATATCAAAAAAATTTCATTTGGTTAGCTTTATACTTCCTTTTTTGTTTTTACAAACATAAAATCTCTGTTACGTATCTGGTAGTTACTTGTATGTAGATGTGTTTCAATGAAATTAGAAATTGCTTACCGTTTCTGGTCATATGTGAAGACGAGGGTTGTGCAATAAAGAAACCAAATAAGTTATTTTCATCAAAATCTTGTCTATCATTGAACCACGATATGAGTTTTTTGTCTTTTTTTTCAAAGCTTTCCTTATGTAATGACTGATGTGATACCCCAAGAGATAGGAAGCTAGAAAGAAAGAAGTGCAAGCCTTTAATATTTCCTTATTTGGCATGCATATATGAGAATTTTGGAATTAAATTTATCTGCTTTGGCCTTGAATTGAAAAGTTTTGAAGTTTTCTTTTGTTTTCTGAATAGAGTAATGGGCAGTTGGACCACTCGAAGCCTTCCATACACGAATTGTCCATTTCGCATTCGAAAAGATTTAAAAACAAATGTTTTCCTTTCCAAATAATTTTTTGAAGATATTTTTTGGAGAAAAGTTCCTCGATGTTTGATGGCAAATTGGTAGGAGTGAAATGCCCTAATTGCACCTTGGACTCTAGCTGTTATCTAGTTTGACATAAACATTCTTCTCAAGGCTTTATTGATAGTTTGAGTTCGCAAAACTTATTTTACTTTCAAAAAAACAACAAGGTTTTTGATGTTTTTTTCTATTCTTTTTTTTTTGCTGTAAATTTTTGTTTTTCTACCAATGTTTTAAAACAAAAACTTTTCTTTCCATAAATTCCCGACTTCCTGACACTTCCACTTCATCTCAAAGAGAATCAAAGAGAATGTAGGGGAATGAAGGGAGAGTTTGCCTTCCACATAGGGTATGCAGGTGCGCAACCAATTTAGAGCCAAATGGGCGGGTCTAAGCTTCTTAGCCAGAACAAAAGATAACTCAGATTCAGCTTGTGCGATTTCTTTGTTAACCAATGTACCCTAACGTACACTCTGAGGTCCCCTCGATTACTAAAGCAATTTAATAAAAGTTTTCATATTCTCAGTAAAAGGCAGAAAAGATTTTTTCCTTTGTTAACCTAGTCTCCGAAAAAAAGACTGGGAACTTCGCCTATCCTCTTCTAATCTTGGTATGTTCTTCCGTTCGTTCAGTCTCTCGTTTGATATGGCATTTTGTTATTTCTTCTTCAACTTTGGACTGAGTTAAACAACTCGATTTGAATTTTTGATTTCTTGCGGGCTTTCTTCCTCCTTCTCTTCAAAAGTTCAGCAATGTTTTTATAGTTATTAATAAAAGTATGATTCATGTTGTCTACAAATTACAAAGGATATGATTCTATCATATCAACGTTTGGATGAAATCGATGTTAGTCCGGAAAATATTACTGATTCTCGTGAGTTTACAAAATTTCGTTGCGCCGTATTCATGTTCGTTTTTTCCAGATAGTTCCGTCCTTGGCTCAAGCTCTAGGATGGGCAGGCTGGTCATCGTGGACCTCCTGCTCTCGAAGTGTATGTTTAGTGCTTCCCTAATTATTTTTTTTTATTTGGAGTTCGTAAAAGCGAAAAATTGGAAGAAATTATAGCTGAGTGAGAAAGACATAAATCAATGTTTGTTTGAGCACATCAACCTAAAGGGAAGATTTTTGGGAAATATCTGCAAGTCGTTAAGAAATAAACTGGATTTGGGAGCGGTTTTTATTGAAACTTTTTGAAGATGGGAAGAGAAAGCAACTTTTGAGGAATATTCTCCTTAAAAAAACGACTTTAGTATTCTTGTTATGTCTCGCTTTGTTTCAAGCTGACATCTCGCTTTGTTCAAACTGAAAAGTTGAAGGAATAATTTAAGTGAAGGTTATGCTCCACTGGACTTCATAACCTTATTTAGTATTAAATAGAAATTAATTATTCAGGTATTATATTTGAGTTTCAGTGTGGCGGAGGAGTTTCTCAGCAGCTTCGCAGATGTTTGGATGAGAAGTGTTCGGGACACTCAGTTCGTTATAGAGTTTGCAATGTTGCTGTAAGTTCCTTATTTTTTCTCGAAAATCATGAGCAACGAATGCTTTTAGGATTGTTATAAACCCAGTCGAGCTGAGCGAGACACAGTTTGTAGTGGACAAATAATTTTATCTCGTCAACAGGTTCCTTTTGTTTCGATAGAAAACATAACTTTCAATTTTGCAGTGTGAAGTCGTTTGTCGTTCAAGAAATACGGGCACGAGCTTTTTATGGCGGGTAACTGATGGGACTCCCTGTCAGGCAGCTTCGAGTCGTGCAGTTTGTAGTCAAGGATCATGTCAGGTTAGCAATTTTTTTAAATTCTGTTATAATTGAACTCATAAGGTTGTTGGGTGTGATGATGTAATAGGATCTTCACTTCGATTCGATGCTTGTGGTGTTTGTGGAGGTCGCGGGGATACTTGTGACAGTGCTCAATTTGTTTGGAAAGAATCTGGTAATTATTGAATCTACTGTTTTGAAAAATATGATTATTTCAGGTGAATTCACACCATGTGCTGGATCATGTGGAGATGCAGCCGCTAGCTTTCATAACGGGAGAGATATTCGAGAATCACATTCCATAACTGTTTGTGTGAACTCAAATACAGGACGTGTAGTACCAGAACGGCTTTGTGCTGATCGGAAAAAACCCATTTCTATCACAAGACCCTGTCCTCCGTTGATATGTCCTAGCAAGTGAGATTTTTTTCAAAAATTCTAAAAAGAGTGGCCGAAAGAAAGAATACTTTCTCGATCATTCTCCCAAACACATCTTACAAACTCATAAATTACAAGGCGGATTTGGAAAAAGAAACGAATTTTCATGATTTAAATGATTTCCTTTTAAGTTACCCGTAATCCTTTTGCTGGAAGTACAGAAGAATCTAAAAAAAAGCTCAAAAAACAAATTTAATGAAAGAAGTGCTCTCTCGACAACTATCCTCATAGATAGTTTCGTATACGATTTGTTTGTCCATTACAACAGCTGGTAGGTATCAGTTGTTGAATGACCAATTATGGTATTGTTGAGTAATATGATAACTTTCGGATGTTTTTTCTTTCTCAACACTAAAAAAATAAGAAAAATTTCAGTTGCCGGTTAGTTTTTTAAATCAAGCCGTTGTGGTAAGGTGCATGTAGTTTGCCCCATATAAGGGGATGTTGCTTTAGATCAAAATATTATTTCGGGTGACTTGAAAATTAAGATGTGCTGTGTGATTTCTTTGAGACCATTAATTATGGCTTGATCTAATTAGCATATTTCAGTTGGCTATCGTCCGATTGGACAGAATGTTCACCGGCGTGTGGTAGTGGTCGAAGAACTCGATCGGTTTATTGCGTACATCAAACTACAACTCACTCTGTCAGTGTTCCGGATAGCTTCTGTCAAAATCAAACAAAACCAGTGAGTAACTTTTACAAACCATTTACACTTCATCAATCATGTAATGGATGTATAGAAAAGGAATTATTAAGCATAAAAATCCTTTTCCATATGTTTGTAGGGTCAAACCCAGTCTGTCATCCATCACATCACTTGATTTCTCGGTTCTAATCCCTTGTAAGTCAGTTGGAGACAATGCCGATGTCCATCTGTGACATTTAAATCTTCGAAAACCTTTGAAATTCTCCATATGAAAATTGATTAGAAAATAAAGATTACAATTCAAAAATTACGTCATTCGTACTTGAGCATCACTAATTTCTTCTAATCAGACCTTTAACTTAACAAATTCAATTTTACGTTCGAGTATTTCAGACCTCGGAGGAAGTTTGTTCCACAGAAACTTGTGGAAGATGGGAAACGGGACGTTGGAGTCGATGTTCCGCCAGTTGTGGTCAGGGGATTCGTCGTCGAACGGTTTCTTCATTCACCTGAAGGCGCATCTTAATTGTTTCACCTTCCAGGTGGAGTGCGTTGGAGGTACTGACTGTTCTGTACTTCTCCGGCCTCCCTCTGAAACACAGTGCTATACAGGAATCCCGTGTCATATAGGGCCTAACATACATGAACCGCAAGCTTGGGTGTCTCAGGAACAGAAGTAAGTCATTTTGGAGTTTAAGAAGTTTATAAAATATCCATACGAAGTATGTACATACTATTCAAAAGAAAGATTATATAAGCCTTTCCTGCTATTCTTCGTCCTCATTCATCATTTTTCGCTTCTGCTCAGCTTTCTAAATCTGCGCACCCTCCAAGCTCCAGTACTCCCCATCAGCCGTCTCATAAGCTCCGCCCACTACTGAACAGCCCCACCCCATTTTCGGTATTGTACCCAAGCATCTCTTAGAGCTTGACCCCTGTTTTGAAACGAAAACAAACATCAGGAAGTACAAGAAAACTTGTTCTTCTTCTCTTGAAGAGTTTTGTGAGTTTCCCCGTCGCTCACTATGGAGCTTTTCGTATTGCTGCCGTTTCTCTTCTTGGTAACCCAAGCTTAGTAAGTTTTTCTCTTAATCTTCTCCTTTTTATTGTCCTCAATTGATATATAGTTTTCCCCTATATTTTACTACGTAATTCTATCAAAAAACAAATTCGATTGAATTTTCAAATAAATCGCAGTTTCATCTCACTTTTCCACTTATCTCAATTGAATTATTTCGGAAACAGCTCAATTTGGTGATGATGAAGTCTCAGCTCAGGGCATTTCTGCTAGCCCGAATAATACACCGACTGTGTAAGAGTATGCATGTCTGTGTATTTTATGAAAATCTGGTTGATGTTGAAGAAAAATTATAATTTTGCTCAAAACAAACATGACCAGTGATGCTAAGAGACAGAAATCTCATTTTTATTACTCCGATTTATAGTTTGGGGAATGTTTTATGAAAAAAGCTGTCACATTGAGAGCTTTTGATGACATTCAAGATGACACCTCGACAAGATTTCGGAATTTCCAATAAGAAGTATGAATGCTTAATCAACATTATTTATTCCATATTCACTGCTTATATGTTTTAAAGAAAAAAATTTATGTTCCAACCCGACTATATAAGGTCAAGACATAGAAGAACTGCCACTTCGAGCTGACAGATTTTATAGAAGATTGAGCAATTTTTTTGGAGAAGTTTTTCGGGTTCCCCCAAAAAGATGATTGAAAGCTCTTTGATTGGCCTAATTGACGACAGTTTTCGAAATATAGAAGGGTCATTCTTCTTGTTTAAAAATACTTCGAAATATTTTTATACCTTAGCAACGACTGAACGAGTTAGTTTGATTGACACGAGCATTCATAAAAAACTTTTCTTTATTTGCAATACGTCGGAAGAGCTCAAAGACAGTTAAGTAGCCTAATTTGGACAATTTACGATTCTTTTATGTCGGTCACAAGCATTTCTTCTAAGCTTATCATTAGCTTATCATTGACACGCTTTAACATAAAACATTATTTACTCCATTTCTTTAACTTGAGAATGTTTCTAAATATCCTCATGATAAATCGTACTCGAAAAAATGTTCCTAACACGATTGACATGTTTCAAACTGACCCTTTGTGACCACTTAAGGCATTTTTCAAAACTCGTTTTTGAACCTCTGGGGACAACTGGGATTTGGCGGCTATTTGGTCTGTAACAACTTGGGGATATCCCTTTAATTTCCAAAATAATTTCATACACACTATAAAGGTTTTCAGATAATTTCGAGCAAATGACAGCTTAAGAATAGTTTTGGGATAAGACAAGACAAACATAACAAATGTCTTTTCTATCTTTTGATCCTCACTCCCTAAGGGCTCCGAACCAGCCATACTTGAATGTGTTGGCGCTTTTACTAAACTTCTTGCCAAATTTGAAAGACTTCAATCTTTTCTAGAGAAGAAAAAAGAAGAAGATTAAAACATAATTTATCAGGATGAACAAAAAAAGGGAATGTGTTCACAGTTCCCAAGCAATGTTTCAATCGATTGAGGTCGAGGTCATATAAAATTATGAAACGGCACTGTCTTGACAAGCTGCGACTGAAACTATTTTTCAAAATTAAACGCAAAATTAATCACTGAGCCACACCATCTGTTTCCTTATTTCCCCTTTTCTGGTGTTAGTATTTAAATGAATCTGATGGAAATTGATGACGAAGTTCTTAACTTACAGCTTGGATTGGAATGACCGACGATATCTGGATGGAACTTCGTTCAATCCAATGGAGCAGAACTCCCATGGACCGAGGTTTGTTTGTTCAACAAAAATAGTCAAAAACATCAATTAGGAAGACAAATGTTTCTTTTTTTCTTTTTAATGAATAAGTTGTCTTTCCAAATTAGGGAAGGATAAGTGGACATCCTGTACTTGAGCTTTAGCTGGCCAATCACATATGTTCTTCTTTTCTATATTTGAGATTTAAAGTGTTTTGCTTTCCATAATAAATATAAGTATAAACGAATGAGAGGCGCTAATCAATTTATTTTGATCTCTTAAACTTATGGCTTCTTTCTCTCTCCCATTTAATATTCTCTGCATCTACCTAATTTGGAATCTTTAGTCCTTAAGTGAACCTCTTGTCATCAGACGCACATTCTATTATTAAAGAGAATAATAGAATAAGTACTTTTATGGAAATCATGCAACTTTCCAGCTGGCACATCATCTTCAACACTTGAATAATCTTTTTAATTATTAAATGTTGGGATAAAAAAACTTTCTTGTTGTAGGATAATACCTGGTCCGTGGTCCGCTTGCTCAGCAACATGTGGACCTGGAGTTGAAAGCAGAGCCGCCGAATGCATGGCTCTTCATCCAATTACTGCTAACCTCATCAAATTACCCATGTCGGAATGTGCTTGTACGATGATGTGATTTGAATATTTTATTTACATTATGAGTTTCCAGCTCTCACTCAACCTCTATTATTCCAACCATGCGAGGTACGAGCATGTCCGCTACAAGAGGATTCTAAAGTAATGACGGATACATCACCATTCAAATGGGAACATGGTGAATGGACACAGTGTTCAGCCTCTTGTTTGGGAGGTTCGATAGAAAATCAAAAATAGAAATAAAAAAAAAAACAACTTTAAGGAAAGCAAAAAGCTGCATTGAAATGCATAGCTACAGCAACTGGGCGTCCAGTTGCTTGGTCTCAATGCGATGCCCGCACAAGACCCCCTGAGAAGGTTCGTGCTTGCAACCAGCAAGCATGTCCTCCTATGTGGCAGGTAAGACTATAAAATAATTCTTATTGGACTTCTTTGTTTTTAGGTTGGTCCTTTCGATTCTTGTTCAACCAGTTGTGGTGGAGGCACTAGTAGCCGTTCAGTAAAATGTGTAAGACCAGTTAGCAGAAGTGGAGGTCAGAAAAACATTTATACCAAAAAATAATGTTCGAGTGTTCAGGGGCCGATGCTCATATAGTTCTAGCAGATTCTGACTGCTCATTACCAAAGCCAGCAGAAGCCCAAGAGTGTGCAGCTTCAGCTTGTCCCCCAACTTGGATTGTTCGTATTTACTGAGAAAAATTTCCTATACAAAACGTTGCAGACAGGAGAATGGACTGAGTGTTCAGCTTCTTGCGGATCGGGCGAGCAACGTCGTCGAGTATCTTGTGAAGGAAGAGATGGCCGAGGACGCCGTCAAAGACGAACAGAGAAAGAATGTCCAGGAGAAAAGCCGATTTCCATTCAAATGTGCAGTTTGGGTAAGCAATGCCTTAACTATTCACAGATCTATGATTGACTTTATGCTAAAAATATAAGAGAGTTGTGAGAAGAAGCAGTAAGATGTTTTAGAAAACGGCAAAAAGATTTTTCCCCTGAGACTCATTGTAAATATTTTTTAAGGTTCGTGTGAAAAGCCGCAATTATACAGCAATCGAGTATTTGAACAAAATGCTTCGGAAAAAAAACTTACTCTCGGAATCGGAGGCGTTGCAACTTTGTTCCAAGGTAGTTTGGTACTTCATTGAACTCTATGAACTCTTCATTTGTAGGCACTAGTATCAAAATCAAATGTCCTCGTAAAAACTTCGACAAAAAACGAATTTACTGGACTAAAAATGGGAAGAAAATTCGCAATGATGCCCACATTAAAGTTTCCTCCAACGGAAATCTACGTATTTTCCATGCACGTCTGGAAGATGCTGGTGTTTATGAATGTTTCACTGATTCTCTACAAGGAAATGTCACTCTGCGTTTCAAATACCGCGATGAGAAAGAGCATGTTTTGTCTCCTTCTGAAATGATGAGACCTCAGACAGTCAGCAAGCCTTCCACTGTTAATACATCAATCATCGAAGTAAGAGATAGTTGAGAAACAACATTTACCAAAACTTTTTTCTAGGCTTTGTTAGCTGCCAGTAGTGACGCGGATGTGACCTCAGAACTTCAAAAGCATCGAGACATCATTCAAGCAGAATGGGATATCGGACATTGGGCAGACTGTAAGCAAACGACTTGCTCAGTTGCTGGATATCAAGCCCGTGAAGTTCGGTGCACAGTTTCTATTGATAAAGGAAGTCGCAAAAAAGCCGACGAGAGCATCTGTATCGCTCTAGTCTCCAATAGACCCCCCGAAACACGTCCGTGCCATCGAGAAAATTGTCCACGCTGGGAAGCGGAAGATTGGACTGAGGTTTGTTCTCATTTCAATTATTTTTCGCAAAGATGATATTAAATTTTTGCTCTCTAAAGAATGTAATTCTTTTTATTAGAGAAGATATGTTGTACGCATGTCCAATTAGAAATTATTTCGAGTGTTTGCTTTCTGCGCAGTAAAATCGAATGTTTTAATTATTTAATGAAAAGTTTCTTGAGGAAAACTAAATATATTCGTTTTTTTAAGTGCGCACAGTCCAAATGTCTCCGTGATGGTATCGCTCTTCAAAAACGCAATGTTCAATGTGCTCTTATGAATGGAACCGAAGTAGATCCTGAAAGATGCGATAGAATATCTAAGCCAAAAACTAAGAGAGAATGTCCAAGCTGTAAGATTTTGGAAAATTATTTGAATCGGCTACGAGCTTCACGTAACTACTTTCCAGTTACATTTTCATTTCAATAGCTCGTTACGTGAGGAACGGTCGCATTCACTGTCTGAAGATCATATGTAGTTTATATGGCTCATTTCAGCTGCATGCAAAGCAGAATGGAGAACTTCTGATTGGAGACCGTGTTCCTCTACTTGTGGTACAGGTGGTGTTCAACTAAGAATGCTTTCATGCATGTGGTCGGTTTCTGGCAAGCCAGCCGGAAGAAACTGTGAAGGCTCGCGTCGCCCATCCGCCGCGAGAGCCTGTCCTTTCCAAGACCTACCCGCATGTTCACCTGAAGCTTTAGCTTTGCAGCAAGGTGAGTGTATAATCGGTTATTTGAATGAGCATTATGTCTGACATGATCATTCTTATCTCTCCATAATCCTAACCTGCATGTACCCTTGCAGATGAAACTTGCGATGATCAATCCCGGTATTGCGATATCATTAAATTATTCCAATCGTGAGTTTTTCTCCTTATTATAACAGCATCAGAGTTCAACCGTTTAACGTTCATGGTTCTCAAATAACTGATAACTGTTTAGTTGCGACACAAAGGAAGTTCGCGAGCGATGCTGTGCCACTTGCCGTTATATGGAGACGAAACGTCGCATCTAGTCGATTCCCGCTTGTAACTTTCAATGATTTCTAGTCCTCAATCTATTTTACATGTATATAAGAAGTTTGCTCTCAACAGACATAGTCTGACCGGAACTTCGATGTTAAAGGAAAAATTGGATCAATAATTTCACTTTCACACCTCTATTGATCGAATAATTTGTTAAACAAAATATCATTCGATAATATGAATTTAGAGATATGTATTTTTGTGAAGAATGCTTTTGAAATTGGAAAGCTTTTTATCGCTTCAACACGATAACAGTTAGTCATTCCATGTATTCTTTCCTTTTTTTCTTTCTTGTTTAATCTATTTATGTAGTTATAATAATATTCTTTCTGAAGTTTGTTTCTATTTTCATTTATTCACATTTCATATGAAATTAAAGCTGTTCAATACAGATAGAAGAATGATATGACGATAAGAGCCTATATACATACAAAAGATGTTTCAAACATGGTTAAGTCAGATATGTCAGTGCTAAGATAATTGAAAAAAAAAACGTCTGCAGGCAACAAAGATTTGTGAGATGTTACTCATGATGGGAATACTGGACAGATTGAAACTCGTAGAAATAACATGGATTACCGGTTGGTAAGACAATCGTCGAAACCTAATTTAATAAATCTTACTTTCGAATTAATCGGGCATAACTGCCTGCTATCAGTGAGGGAATTAGCTGAAACATAGTTGAATTTAAAGAATAAAATTGAATTGAAATCTTACTTGTACTATACTGGCAACAATTGCCATCCATGCAGCAATATGTACAACATTCAATAAATCATTCTGAAGAGGTTCATAGCATGTATTTGTATATACTGCGTTGCGGTTAGGAGAAAGGATATCAGAAGCTAAACAAGCCTCTTCTCGACCGCTGACACAACTGCAAGATAATTCAAACGTTTCAACATCAAACTACACTATGTTAACAAACCATGATAATGGTAAAATTTTCTTGGGTTCTTGCTGATGCATATACCATTTGGATGTTCTCCAAATATGCAAATCATCTGTGCCATTCACACCACAACATTTGAACTATAATTGAGAAAAATAATTTTACATCAAATGCAACCGCTCAAACGTTCGCTCGCGCTCAAAATGAACTTTGAGAAGAAAACGGCGTGAACGTTAAGTGAAAATGATTTTCAAAAGTGTTTAAATAAGAAATATCGGAGAATCATGGCGAATAAGATCTTTAAACACTTATAAACAAAGAAAGAAGATGGTTTCTACTTACTAATACCTATCAGAAACAGAAAGGTAACAAGAAAAACAGATGAAATGTAAGATAATCTTTGAAACATACATTTGTTTGTAAAGAGTCCCATGCTGCAGTGACTTTTTCCATATCTTCTTGGCCATACAGTTCACGTGAAGAGGTAAGCATCTTGAGGTTCAATGGAATTTGCTTTGTAAGCTTAAAAAAATCTATTATTACTTCTTTGAAGTTTTAGAAAAACCTGCGAGCGAAATACGAATCCCATAATTCCTCCAATGAATAGCATTATAGCAATGACAATGGAAGCAACAGAACACTAGAACGGTCATTTTCAAAAAGTTTAAAATAAAGCGAACTTACTGAATATATTCCACAACGTAACTCTTTAACTAGTGAATACATACAACAAAGCTGGTTTATGATGGCAATTGCTGATACAACTGCTAGAATTCTGGCCACATCGACGTACAGCGAAGGGTCTAATAACTCGGCGTACTGTCCACGTGAAGCAGCTAACCAAGAACCATAAATTATACAAGCAATACTATACAACTGAAACCATTGGAAATCAACTAGTAAATATAGATCAAAAACAAACTATGGCAATAACACTGAGAGTAAAGAAAGATATGCGTAAAGACCGTCCAACAGATCCATAAGCTGACCAACGACTAAAAGTGCCCATGGCAGCCTGAAGAGAAGAGAAAGATTTTTTTTCAATCAAATGTTATTGCAACGAAAGTTATCAAAATGAGAAGATCAATGCTAATCGAAGTTGAAGGCAAGCAACGTTGATGAACAGATGATTCAAACTTTTGAGAAAAAGAAAAAAGAATTATTTCGGAAAGAAAAGGTAGATGGAGGAGGAAAAGAAGAAAAATAAAGGAAAAAACATGAATCGTTCAAGTTCAGCACAATCGATAGGAATTAAAGGAAGGTCAACTAATGGACATTAACTAAAACATTATATTCGAATTTTTTTTACTCCATTGAGAATATCATGATGAATATCTCCGAAAACGGACAGACAGTCTTCGTTTGAACAAAACTCATCTCATTATTCGCCCATCAACATATTATTTCCGCAGTTCTAACGATCAGAGATTCGGAAGGATATTCTATGTAACAATCATCCTCAACAAATAAAAAAGAAATAAAAAATACATAACAACATAATACTAGATCAAGCCTCAACAATGGGATGATGCTTCATCTACAGTCATATATGGTTATCATGTTTTGAAATCAATATTCATCTGGAGAAGAAAAAGAAAGAGAAAGAGGCACGACTACTAGGAACGGGTGTATGTCTGTATGTATGCGCTGCGGGACGATTTGCAGCCCCATCTCTTACACCATTTCTTTCTTTCTCACCTCTCTTCCTCTCTCTCTTTCTTTCTCTCTCTCTCTTCATCTTCCTTAGTTCTTCCCAGGCAACGGAACCGGAACACGTTGGTTGATGATGGTTGGTAGAGAAGGAGAAAAGTAGAGTGGAAGAAGAGGAGAATAAACTAAGCGACGTTGACAACGAAGACGATAATGATGAAGAAGACCAGACGCTTCTGCATCTCTTTAACCTCTTCTCTAGATGACATGCCAATCACTGTCATAAGTCTCGTCGGACTTTCTTAGGCGCCAAAAGATAGAAAGTTTGAAAAGAAAACAGATAGGAAATAGATTTTTTACAAGCACAAAGAGATAAGTTTAGATGATGATCGTGCAAGAGCACACACTACAACACAAAATTGAAGGATAAAGATTATAAGAGAGCTTGCGAAATAACAATACTATCACAAACAGTCTTGTTCTACAAGTGACAGAGAGTTTCCCGAAAAAATGCGCTGACAGGGGGGGGGGGGGGTTTCACGAAAAATTAATGTGATTAAGTTACAAAAATAGAAAAATAGAGGAAGCTGGAACATATAAAGTTAAAACTTTATAGTAAAAATCTGTTAAGAATAAACAAGATTGGTAGAGAGAAGTACTTGAGTATGTTTACTGAACAAGTTATTGTTATTTCCTGAAGTTATGAATGAATAGATGTACAATCTATCAGAACATTGAAATCAAAGAAAAAAATACAAAAGATTGTCTTTTGTAGAAGGACAAGAGACATTTTTCTGGACAATTCGTCAAATAGTCGCTTGGCTTGTCATCTGAAAGTTTATACCAAATAAGCACTTAGTGATCAGATGTTTCATGTCTGGTTATTAAGCTTCCTTGAATCCGAAAATCCAGCAGAGATAATGATTTGGGAATGAAACATAAAAAAGAGAAACTAACTTCTCTGTTAACTTGTATCTTTCACTTCTATAATAAGATTCATAAAACATTAGAATGTAAATGATATTTCTTTTTAATGCTTAAACAACATGAAATTAATGTTTGACAAGGCAAGCTAATTTGACGCACAGGAACAAAGACAAAAGGAATTTATTATTATCTAGTTCTTGGAGAAATAGGAAAAACAACCGTTCTTCACGCGCGCATTTAGCCAAATGATTTTTCATTTCGAAAATTTCACGTAAAATTGCGTGGAAGTCTAGTTCAGCCTGTTTTCATTTTGTTTCCTCACTAGAGTGTCGCTTTTCGCACTTATCTCTTTCTAATCAAGCAAACTTCTCAATGACAGCATATAATCCAAAAACACAGGAAGTCATTCAGAGATTTCAATTGAGCGTTAAGCAGAATCACGGAAGAGAAAAAAAAACTATCTATATTGATCTAAAGATATTCAAATAAAACAAAGAAATGCATAGCCCGGAGCTACGTGGAAATGTGAGATGAATGAAACAAAACTGCTCCGACCGGTACCTCTGGGTTAAGATCTGTTTGCTCACAGACCTGATATTATGCGCATCAACCGGACGACAACTGACGAGATCGTCTGTTGTATTAGGTCTAACCTACGCCTTCCTTTTCATTTTTTCCTACAAAATTCACTTCCCAACGTAGGCGGTTTTCAATTCATATAACACTCTTCGTTTACATAAACAGAATACACATGAAAAGGTAAATAATTAGTAGTGAAGATCAAGCGATTTATTAAAATACTGAATTAATATATATTCCGAAAATTAAATAACAATCTGAGCTTTTCTACATGTCCTTGACCAGTTATTTAAAACCTACACAACAGGCACCAATGTGTTTCGAATATTTTGACCATGTCTTACCCGATGATAAAAATGATGTCCCGAACGAGTGGCACGGAACTGGTAAGAGCGATCTCTTAAATAAGATTTAATTCAAATGTGTTATTCTCAAATACGTATGCAAACCTTCTTGTCAAAACTTTCTCAGCTGGGCAAATATCAACATATTTCCGAACATAATCAAGTCGTTGAGTAGTTGTGCCATCAAAAGACCCATTAGGTAAGTGGAATGATTCTTCGGGGCGAACGGCAGACACTCGCTCGCCTGTATAATTTCAAGTAATTGTGTCATGCTTAACGACAAACCATGTTTTGGCTTGTAACCTTCCTTATACGTAGTGCTAGCATCAAATGGTAAATCGGAATCAATTGGATGACTACGAGGACGAACCATAATTGGTCTTGAACAATGAAAACAAAAATGAGAAGAAAAGAAATAGAGTTAATACCTATCAGTGTTTTTTCTAGTAAAATCGCTTTGTGTGATAGTCATGCCATCCATTCTACCCTCTAATGCGAATGAGGAAGACAGTGGCCGGTAAGGAGAAGCACGATCCACCTGAAAAAAAAAGTTTTTATTTGATTTTCCTTATATTTTTTTGTTTTTTCTTCGAAACATATTCAACCTTGATACTCACATGCTTCCTGTCAAAGTCTTGTTTGTGTGTGGTTAGTCCACTGAATTCGCCACTTTGCACTGCCGTGATGGGTGGGCGATAAGCTTGACTTCGCTCAGCCTATTTGATGAAAATTAGAAAAAAGGATTTAAGAAAACACAAAAAACCTGTTTAAGATCAAAATCACTTTTATGAGTCGTAATGCCTACAAACTCCCCCGTATTCAAAGCTGTTACAGGAGGCTTAACAGCCTGAGAACGTTCACCCTGGAATACATTAACTACTTGTTCATAAGAGAACTGTTTTAAAAACCTTCGTAGGCTTGTAATCAGATTGATTAGTTGTTATACCGGTGAATTCACCCGACTGAATAGGAACTTCTATGGGCTTGTATGACTGATTCCTTTCTCCCTAAAAGCAAATACTTCTGAAAAGGAAGTTTGAACAAACCTTTTTCAAATTGAAGTCGCTTTTATGAGTTGTTACTCCATCAAAATCACCACTTTGTAAATGTTTGACAGATGGTTTATATGGCTGACTCCTTTCTGTCTTGAAATTATGACTTTAACTCAAGTATTCTACTTAGGACCAACTCTTTTCAGGCCATAATCAATTTTATTTGTTGTAACACCTGAGAACTCTCCTGATTGAACAGCTGTAACTGCGGGTTTGTACGATTTCTGCCGTTCGACCTGAAGCAATTTGTTTCAATTATTGAATGAAAACCCTCATCTACATTTTTCTTATCAAAATCAGCTTTATTCGTTGTCGTTCCTGAGAACTCGCCACTTTCCAATTCAGTAGCTGCTGGCTTATATGACGTTGCAGGTTTAACCTTAAAATTCTGTAGAAACCATGCGACAGAGTACAACTAACATTTTTCCGACCAAAATCATTTTTGTGAGTTGTCTCTCCTGAAAATTCACCCTCTTGATGAAGAGTAGATGAATACTTTATGGGTGTGTTGCGTTGGGGCTGCAGAAAAAAACAGATGAGTAATAGAGCATTATTGCACTTAAAACTTCTTTTCTGACGAAATCAGCTTTGTTCGTAGTGATTGCTGAAAACTCTCCTGAACTCAGCGGATTAACGACCGGCTTATATGGTGTCGCTCGCTCAGCCTGGCAATATCCAATCGATGTTTGTATTTTGTATGTTGCAAACAAACTTGTTTTAAACCGAAATCACTTTTATGGGTGGTATTGCCATCGAAAGGTCCGTTCTGAACAGCTGTGTTAGGTGGGCGAAAAGCATCCATCCGTTCCGCCTGAAGTGAAAAATATTATTTTTTTCGCTCAAAATAGCTGTTTGAAACCTTTTTGCCTTTGAAATCATTCTTATGGGTTGTAGTACCATTGAACTCTCCACTTTCGATAACTGTATACGGAGGCTTGAATGATTGACTTTTTGACGCCTTAAAAGATTATAATCAGTAGAACTTTTGATATTGTTTATCTTAATTTTACCTTTTTCTTATCATAATCAGCTCGATTTGTGGTCTCGTCCATGAATTCTCCTGATTGAATCGATGAGGGTATTGGCTTGTAAGCCAAACTTCGATCAGCCTAATCAAAATAATTTTTATCACTTGATGTGAAGAAAAATAGGAAACACTGTCTAAAAACGATTTTTAATGATGAAACATACAATTTTTCTATCATAGTCAGCTTTGTTTGTTGTAATTCCAGTAGAGCCACCTGTTTGGATAACAGTATCAGCGGGTTTATAGGATTGTTGTTTCTCAGCCTATATGATAAATATTGAAAATGATTTTGAAATTCTATTAATTCACTTGTTTCCTATTATAATCACTCTTATTAGTTGTCACTCCGAGAAAATCTCCACTTTGAACTGCAGTGACAGGTGGTCGATAAGCGGAGGTTCTTTCAACCTGAACAGAGTTTTGTTAGTTCGTTTGAAGATTAATCAGAGTTGAAAGATGAAAACTACAAGACTATTCTCCCTTTTCTGCATTTTCTATACAATTTTGTCGTTTTTCTTCTGTTACTGATTGTGCATGTGGTTTATTCATAGATGAATTCTTTTGTTTTTTTTAAAAGATGAAATATTTCAGAGGGCTAGTCATACGAATGTTGATATTTCCAACGTAACTCACATATTTCCTATCAAAGTCTATTTTGCTTGTTGTTCTTCCATCAAATTCTCCACTTTGTATTGTAGCATTGACAGGACGATAACTTTGACTACGTTCAACCTGAATTTTCCATTTTCTTGTCATTTTCTCATTTTCACTAACAAATTTCCGGTCGTAGTCGTTTTTGTGAGTAGTCGTGCCATCGAAGGTACCCGTTTGTAGGGATCTTTCTGCTGGACGTGATAGAGTTGATCTGCAGAGTTTTATATAATTTTGACCATTTTCGTAAAGCTGACCTTTCTCCTCTTTTTAATGAATATTGCGTTCCGTATTCAGTCTGCCCATCAATTGCACCTGTGCTAGTCCAATCCTCTCCTTGGTGGGGGCATTTATGATTTCTAAAAGCTATAAATAAGAAAAAGTAAATCCAACGGAAAGCAATATTTTCCGTTCTGTGCAATTATGAATGCTCAACCTTCATAGATTGTTCGCTATTCTGTTCGAGAAACTAAATAATCTCAGATAATTATGGGTCAGAGGGTTCGATTGAATCGAGAAGAACTTACAATCGAACATACCAACTTGTTATTTTTGAATATTTATTAATACAAATAAAACAATATTTCAAAAGCAATAAAGCTGGCTGATAAATTCAAGTGATAGAACATACCCGCATTGACAAATCTGACAAATACACCTTTCTTCTTCACTGTCCGAACTGCTCATTGGCTAGTTGAACAATATTTAGAATAATATTATCTTTTTTTTTTGAGAATACTTTCATAAATCGATGATAGAGGAGATAATGTGACTAGTATAGCGTGTGGTTAAAGATGCAAAGGTGGTTGCTTCGATAATTAAAGCAGACGACGTATTCAGTCCTCAATATGGAACCAATAGTGTCTTGTGCCTGACGGACCCTAGAAACGCTGCCGTCTGCACTAAGCGACGACTCGTTAGTATAGAGACAACAAACAACAAAAAGAGCGCAACTATACGAATAGAGTCTTGAGTAATAGAAGGATTATAATAGCTCATGCTCAAAAATGTGAAAAAACGAAACACAAAAAGGATGTAGGAAGAGTGGAAAAAACATGTAATCCATTGAACAAATAATAATAAACACAGCGGTAGATCCTATTCCTGTTTACATTAACAAGGTTTCAATTAGCTTTTCAATTTAAATTTTTGCCGCTTTTTATATCTCATTTGCATATTAACTGTTTCACTTTCTGATTTTTATTTCTTGCTGGATTGGAAGAATAACCGGTTGCATTCATTTCAGATGTGATAGGTGAGCGGTTCGTTACCGCTTTTCTCATTTTCACATTTCCAATTTTTTCTAAAAGTTGTTATTTTTTGCCAGAAACTGAGAATCTCACATTTTATTGCATTATTTGCTGCACATGAGTGATGTATATGACTTTTAAAGAACTCAGTATGCAATATGCTGAGAGTAGCGCTGATGTTCGACAATGGCTGCTTTTTTTGAGTTTTAGCTAGGGAAAAGTGTAAACAATGCACATTGATCGAAATAGATGAAATTTGTTTGTGAGAATTGATGTTATGAGGTGATGGCCGAATAACTCGTTAGTCCAAACGAACAAACGAAAAATTCGATCGTTTTCAAATTTGAACATATGGAAGATGCATTTCATTTATTCCGCATTGATTACGTGGATTAATCTTTTGTTGTTTATCGGCGGTGTGTTTTTGCTTTCTTTTCTCTGCATTTTTTTTATTGCGATCGGAGAAGATACCTCCAACTAAGAAATTTATCGAATTTTTTGTTTACGACCCTACATTTTAACATATTTTGTCTCTGGAACTATCTCCAGTTGTGCAGTGTGGTTATACTTCCACACTACACATGTTAAAAAGTGTCTAGAAACACGAAATTGAAATATCGTTGTTGTCCTTGAAGAAAATGTTAGTTGAAATATAAAACAGACAACACTCAGAACTTTTCTATTGCCTTCAATTAATTGCAAGTTACCAACTACGTTTCGCAATAAATGGTTACTTTTGTATTATTGAGCTTTTGTTTTTGTTTATTATTTTCATGAAGCTCAAGTAAAAATAGAATTCCTCGTTCTATTCGCATTGTTATTTTGAAGAAGTACCTTACGCACTGCTGTTTATATATCATGAATGATATTTACCTTTTTGAATGTGCTGACATTCTTCTCTTTCTCTGCTCACGTTTTGCGATCCAGTACTAGGATTCGTATTTTAGATCCACGAGTGAAATGGTTTTTGAATCACTAGTTGCTGATTTACTCAATCGATTTCTAGGAGACTTTGTTGATAATCTTGATGGAAAGCAACTCAATATAGGAATCTGGGGAGGTAAGGCTGTTTACGACATTAAAGTTCAGTTTCATTTCCTCTTATAGGTGATGTGAAACTAGAAAACTTGGAAATCAAAGAAAGTGCACTAGATGACTTTGACCTCCCTATCAAATTAAAGTTTGGATATCTACAGTCTTTAGTGTTGAAAATTCCTTGGAAAAATTTGTACACTGAGCCAGTAATAGCTACTGTCGATGGTTTGGACATTATTGCTGTTCCAAACAAGGGAGTTGTATACAATGAGGAAAAAGTGAGTTCCGTTATCTGAACTTACTCATGAGAAAAGTTCAGATCAAGAAGAATTTAGCTGATATCAAGCAAAAAACATTAGCTAGATTGGAAGAAGCTCGTAAGAACAGAAGGAAACCTACCGATCCCCAAGCGGATACTTTTGCTGAAAAGATGGTCACTCAAATCATCAAGAATTTACAGGTTATTTTCATTTTGAATCTGCTGTTCTTATCTGATTAAAGATTTCCGTCAGCAACATTCATATTCGGTATGAAGACAAGTACACAAACAGACATAGACCCTTCTCCGTAGGTATTACGTTGGAGAGTTTGAACTTTAAGGTTTGAGAGTGACTAGGATGAATTTATGAATTACAATCTTTTAGACTACCGATGAAAACTGGGTTTCTACTATCCACAAAGAAGCTGTGAAAGTTATCCACAAATTGGTTTCTTTACAAAATCTGTCAGTGTACTTGAACTCTGACGATGTAATGTTTTCTGATAAAACCGATAAGCATGCTATTCGTCATCTACTGCATTCTTCTATTCATCGTGGGGAAAAGAAACCTGATGGTTTCAAATATAGTTAGTAGTTACACCTGTTTCGCATATTCATTTCTACTTCTACAGTTCTCGAACCTATCACTATTGAAGCTAAGCTAAAGTTGAATCAGAAGCCTGAGACAGATGGAACAAACTGGAGTACTCCTAAGGTACTTGAGTCAAATTATAATGAGTTATTCTGTTTTTTTTAGATTGATATTTCGGTTGATATGCAAAAACTTGCTTTAGCCATAGGAAAACTACAATATCAAGATATCTTGTTGTTTTTGGAAGCTCAAGAACGGTATTTTCATAGCTTTCATCGTTACTATCAAATTACTTTGACTAAAGATTCAATTTGGCTGGACAATATCTTAAATACCGTCCCAATCTGAACGAATACAGAGGACATTACGTGGAATGGTAATATCTTCAGTTACTGTACTCTTCCAATTATTATACATTCAGGTGGAAGTTCGCTTATAACTCTATATTGGAAGAGAAAGTAAGAAGAAGAAGAAGCAATTGGTCATGGAAACGTATGAAAGATCATAGGAATTTAGTCCGTGATTACAGGTATGCTATGTTCTCGTAGGAAGATTTTTTAATATGATGCTTTTTAGAGCGGCTTGGTTAGCACATCAGACTGAGAAAAATATTTCGAGTGATCAGAAGGACACTATATCGGTAAAGTTCAGTTTGTGTTATCACATTGTTTATTGTTTCTTTTAGAAAGCAGAAAGCGTTCTGGATGTTTTCAATGTAAACATAGCTCGCCAACAAGCGGAATTGGAGATTGATAGACTTGGTTTGAGAAGGTTAGAAGACCAACCTCAAGGATGGGTTGCTTGGGGCAAGAGTTGGTAAGATATTTTTATTTTTTTATGATGATAAATACTTGAAATAGGTTCGGAGGAAACAATGGAGAAAACTCAGGCTCTTCTCACAAGCAAAAAGACATTGTTTCGAAGTTCCAAGAAGCCATGACAGAAGAAGAGAAATCAAAACTGTTTGAAGCTATTGATTACCAAGTAGAATTATTATTTATTTGTTGTAAAGTCTTTACCTCTACAGGAAAACATTCCGCCGACCAACTATCCCAAAGAATTCGTTGAGAACAAGTTCGATTTCAACCTCGGACAGGTTGTTTCGTTTTTTACTCTCAGTTTAGTTACGTTAGTATTCAGGTAGCAATAGCAGTTGAAGGAGCTGTTGCTCTTCAATTATTGCACATCAAAGCTGCTGTACAACAAAGACCCAGTGCCAAAGCCATGAAGTAAATCCTAAATCCTGTGCTTTTAGTTTTTTTCTTTAGTGTGTTATCCACCATACAAGAACTCAGAATGGATGGATGTGGCGCTGAAATGCTGCGCGTTCGTGATTCATCTAGAGCTTGGCTTTTCCTGGAGTTCGACACATATCCTCTTTCCGGAGAATATGATCAAAGAGTCGAATTATCCATCGCACCTATTGATTTGAAGTATCATGCTCCTTCTGTTAACAATGCCATCGAGGTAGAGTATTTAACTTGGCACTTCCCAAGCTGAATCTCATCTTGCAGGTTTTCAAACCTCCAGATTCTGTTAAGTTGAATCAATTGACGGCTCTGGCAATGTCTAGATATGAAGAGGTCGGTGTTTCATTTTGACAAACTCTACAATCCCTTTCAGGTTAAAGCGAGATCTGTAACAGGACTTGCTCATGCCGTTGAAAATCGTTCTAAATTAGTGCTGGACATTAATATCGAGCCAGCAACTCTTTTAATTTCGGAGGGTGGAATATATGATGCTCGTAAGCCTACCATCGTTGCAGATCTTGGATTGTTAACCATAAAAACCATGGATAGTTTTGATGTCAGTTCAATAGACAGTACATTAGTTCACAGATCAGACTTATAGGAAAATATGTCGTTCACCAACAAGTTGGACTCATTGAGAGAACAAGCTTATGATAAGTTCCATGTCAAGTTGAGCAATGTAGTGGTTTCTCTTGGAGATAACTATGAATCAGCAAAAGCTTCCGTGCATCAAGCTGAAAGTCCTTTACATATTCTAAAACCCACCGGTTTAGATATTCAAATACATAAAAGTTCTATTGATGATCTGAGATTGGCAAAGTAAGTTATACTATTAGTACTCCTCTATACAATGTTGCTTAAGACTTCGAGTATTGGGAGATCTGCCTGATATCGTTATTGGAATCTCTGATGTCAGGCTCATCATGCTTTTAAAGTTGCTAAACTCCATACCTAAACCTGAAGCAGATCCTGAAGTAGACATAATCAAAGACTCTGCTCCTGTGCTGGAAAAAGCAAAGTTAAAAGACCGTGCGAAAATGAAAACAATAATGGAGGTTGAAGAAGTGGGTTCCTTGAGAATTTTGAAATAGTAAAAGATTCTTCAAAGGTTGAGTCTCTCCATTCCGCACCCCAAGAATCAGCGGCCGACAAAACCATAACTAGCGAACAACAAGTACAAGTTGAATTAGATTTACATCTGCGTCAGGCAAGTTGTTCAAGATCTTCTCATTCTTTCTTTGTTTAAGATAGGACTTGTGTTGTTCAAAGGTGACAATGTGCTCTGTGATGTTTCAATCTCTAGAATGTCTTGTAAGCTTCAAATGAGAACTTTCGATATGGTTGTTCTTGCTGAGGTTTTCTTTCCACCCAATCACTATTCAACATGTTATTAAGCTCGGCGCTGTTGAAATCGAGTCTCCTATGTTCAATTCGCTAGATACTAAGAGGGAGCACCTGTTTTTGGTTGATAATAAGTCAGACTCGACTCTCATGCAATTGAAATTTGTCCAAGTACGTTATGTTTCTTGAGAGTGGTCATATCATTACATTTCAAGGCAAATCCAGAATCACCTTTCTTCGCGACTGAATATAACAGCACGGAGCAATCCATAGAGTTCAAATTCAGTGAATTGAATGTCTCTCTACATCAAGTATGTTGAAGGCTCCGATTAATTCAGTCCCTACATTATTAGGAAGCATTGCTGGAGTTGAAGGAGTTCGGGGAGAATATCCAAACTCAAATGGCAGAGTTGTCTCCTAATAAAGACATCAAAGAGAATAATAAAGAAGACGGAGTTGTTTCTAAAGTTGGACGTGCAGTTAGCTCAAGGTTGCACTATAGACGCTTATATTCCTTAAAAAATTAATTCAGCTTGGTATCTCTATCTTCAAGCGTTAAAGAAGCTCAAACCGATGCAGCTGCCTTAAGAAGAAAGGAACGAAAGGAAAGAGCCATGGAGAAAGAGGAATCAACCAACAGTAAATTCGAGCTAAATCGATGATTCGAAGTTTTCCTTTTAGCCAAGTTGAGTTTGAATGCCAAGGTTGGAAGTTTGGGTTTACTCTTGGGTTCAAAACGGAATGGTTTGGAAACCAAACTGTCGATACACAATGTTCATTCTGATGTGAAGATGACGTTGAAAGTTACAGAAGTTGTTGCCACTTTAGAAGCAATAACTATGGAAGATTGTACCAAAGGAGCCTTGTATAAGTAAGTAAAAGTAAAATGTTTTGAATTATTTCATGATTTCAGAAAACTTCTTTCTGTTACTGGTGACCGAGAAATGCTCCGGTTTGAGATGGTACAGTATCAGAGAACTGACAAGGAGAAAAAAAGTATGGGTCCTAACGATATCGATATGAAAATGAAGGTTGTTTTCCTCTATTTTCATTTCGATCAACTTTTTATTTCAATTAGGTCCGATTAGCGCAGTTAAAGTTCGTTTTCCTCAATTTGTGGTTATGTCGTCTAATGAGCTGGCTTTCTCCTTTCCAAGAAGAAGCAGTCAAGGCAGCCGCCGCCGCACAGCAGGTTTGTTTCCTTCTGAGCTCTCTTCTCAAATCGAACTCAGATTGCTTCGGAGAAAGCAGCAGAAGCTGCGCAAAATGTGAAACAGATGTTAGAACAATCACCCCCTCGTATTCAAATGGATGTTAAGCTTCATGCTCCTGTTCTAGTACTTCCGCGACTATCGAGCAGTACTGACGTAGTTGTTGCGATTTTGGGTTAGAATTGACAAGATTTCATAGAATTATAACAATTTCAGGAGAACTGACTGTCAATAATAATATTGGTGCTAGTGCTGACAATAAGAAAGCTATTATGGATAACATGATAGTGAAACTCACAAATATGGAGTTCAGTATCGGAAGTATGAACGAGAGTGCTACTGTGATTCAATCAACTTGTGAGATATTGAAACCTTTGACTTTCAACGTTACAATCGCTCGGTACGCTTTAGCAGCTTTTCTTCAACATTTCTTTTTATAGCAATCTCATGTTTGCCGTATCTAAAAACGTGCCTGAGATCAATGTTCGTGCTGAGATTCCAGCTATAGAAGTTGATATGTCAGAAGAAGATTATGCAACTCTTATGCATGTAGTTTAACATATATTTGATGGTTCATGATATGATTTGTTTAAGACTCTTAATGGAAATCTTAACGAAGGTAAAAAGGAAGCTGTTCTGACAAACGTCTCAGCTGCTCCGAGTGCTGCTCTTTCTAAAGAGAAAGAACCTGTAGGTTTTTTTTGAGAATCAGAAATATAAATATTTTGCAGGAAAAGAAGAAGAGCGTTTTCTCTAAGGATATTAACGATATTGCAAATTTGAACGATTTAGTCGAAAAAACCGATTTCTCCAAAATTGTTTTCGCGTTTGATCTTAACCGTATTGATGCTGTTCTTTACACAGGTAGAAACTCCCAGATTTATAGTTAAATTTTTGATACATCTCTTCAGGAGGAGGAACACATGGTGAGAAGAGGAATACCGCTAATGCGTTTGCCGCCGTCCGTTTACACGGATTGAAGCTCAATGGAAACATACGAGAAGATGATGCGATGGAAGTTCATATAAGCATGAATGCTTTCACACTGGGTGACGAGCGTAAAGATAAAACAAAAATACACAAATTGATGGATAAAAAAATCGGTCACGAAAAAGATCAACTTCTCTCGATGGATTTCAAACAGTCTGCTGACCAAAACAAACTGAGTAAGTGGTTCAAGAAAATACAGGAATTACATTTATATTCACAGTTGACTTGAAAATGTCGGCCTTCTTCTTATGTTTGTGTCCCGAATTTCTTGGAGCGATTTCACGATTCTTCTCAGTACCTCCATCTGAGGAAGAAATCGAAAGAGATGAAATGAAACTCAAGGCTTCATCTGGTCCGAGCGGATCGAATACCGAAAAGACCCGAGAAGGAGACGCTGCCGCTGCTCCCAGTGGTACAATTACTTTAAATTGTGACATGAAGGTATGCTAACAGAACTGATGTTTCGGAACCTCTTTTTTTCAGGGAGTTGAAGTTATATTGGTTGAAAACTCTATGGAGCCGGAAACCACCCAAGCGCTGATCCTATCATTCAATTTCAAAATGGACGCTGAACCTGTACGATAGTTTGTAATCATGTTGGTATTTATTTGTTTTTTTCAGAAAGGAGAAATTCAAGAAATGAAAGGAGGAGTTGAGAAGCTAGCAATCTTCAGTTCTTACTATGCCATCCACAGAAGATCAGAAATTACTTATGAGGTGAGAAAAACTGTGCTATTCTCTCATCTGCTTTTTAGGTTTTAAAACCGATAGATATTGGAATCAAAGCTGTCTTGAACACCAGTACAAAAGGATGTGATGCCGAATTGAGAATGTCAGCAATGGAAATGAGGATGTCTCCTTCTATCATCCGAATGCTTTCTTCTGTGAATGAAGAATTTGCTAAGAGTAGTGCAGTTGTGAGTTAAATCTGTTGAATTCAATCTATATTCGATTTACAGGCTGCTGTTGCAAGTATAAGCGTTCCAAAGTTGAAATCTTATCCAAATTATTGGGGTACAAATCGCATCATCCGCAAGAAGTTTGTTGAGTTTGAAAGCATTTTTTACTTCTTGCTTTCAGTTTCTGGTTCTTCGATATTCCTGTAGCGGAAGAAGCAACGGAAGAGATACTGGAAAGTGAACTTGAGCCGAACACGGACGAGATCCTGGGACCTATTGAGAAAGCAAAAGTTATTTTTGAACGAATCTCTTTCACTTTGGAGGCAGGAACGGGAACGGTATGATAATTATGATATGATGAAGGAAATGTTGGTTTGTTGTAGATCCCAGTTCCTTTAGTGTTCTTCGACTTATTGATCAATGCTGAAGCGTGCAATTGGTCTTCTGCGCTCAGAGCTTCAGCTGATGTTTCTATGCAGATGTCTTATTACAACGAATCCTTCAGGTAAGTAGAAAAACATATCTGTGCTTAGTTTATATTTCATTCAGCGTCTGGGAGCCTGTAATAGAACCTGTTGAAACAAGCTTGGGAGTGTTTGATCGTTGGAGTGTGAAAACTGAAGTATAGTAGTATTTTTCTTCCTATTAAACTTCATAATTTCTCAGGTCAAAGGAAAAAATAAAATGGACCCATTAGACACCTCTCCTGCCATGGACATTAAAATCGATGCTAAGGAAATTTTGAATGTCACTGTCACCAAATCATTCTTATCCCTTCTCAATAAGTTGACTGAGGTTGTGTCATCTGTTTTTTCTTCTTTTCAATATTCTATTTAGGAGTTTGCTCAAGCAGCAAAACAATTGACGCCCCCCACTACACGGATTCTTCCAGGAGATTCCAAAGTTTTGCTATTGAACCAAACTGGCCTGAATGTAAAACTCATAAATACCAATGATTTAAAAGTTTGCATATCCCGGTTTACGCAATACCTTTGTTCTTGTAGATCAGAGGTGCCGAGACCGATCTTGTGGAGGCTAGCCACGGAGAGTTCGTGTTATTGGATGTTTTAAGTGGTACTGTTCCACATCTGAACGAGGTATTTCCAACCAATTACCAATTTGTTATCAATATTTGTATTCTTCCAGAGCAGTTACCATAAAATGATGGGCCTTGAAGATCGAGATGTTAGCCTTCAGTTGGAAGTAGAAGATACTGTTCGTGAACTAAAAATTGGTAGAGCTGATATAGTAGCAGTTCCACTTAACAAATATAGCGAAGCTCGTCAAAAATGGACGGTATGAGCAGTTAAATATTTTTTTATACAACGGAAGCTCTTAAGATTATTTCGGAAACTACTTATGAAACGGGACGTCGTCTAGTGACTCTGAATTCTCATGTGAAAGTTATAAATCATCTTGCGGTTAACATGGAAATCTATTCAACAAAAGATGATAACATTTATGATTTATTCGGGGAAGTTCCTCCTGGAACCTCTTATCATCTGCCAGTGCCTCTTTTGTACACACCAACTGGTCAAATCTATTTCAAACCTTCGGGCGATAGGTATTCCGTTACTACTCTTCCTATTAAACATACATTTTAAGTTCGGAAATGTCCTTCGAAGGAGTGTCATGGCATGACTTCGCCGGTATCACGAGCATCCGAAAATCATTTAGGTGCAACTTGTCGGCTGACACGAGTCAAGGGTTCTATTTCGAGTCAGTAATAACTGCTGAGAAGGTTCAAGCAGGTTGGACAATTTTGTTTTCTTGTACTGAGTGTTTATTCTCAGGACCTGATCTATTCTTTGAAACGTATACCATCACTCTTTATCCTCCACTGGAGTTCCATAACTCTTTGCCCCAACCTATTTCGATCACTTCTCCTGTTCAAGAGAACTTACAACCAGGAGATAGCTTGCAACTTAATGTTATTGCTGGTCATCGTTTGAAGCTTTCGGTTTTTGATACCCTTCAAACAAATAAAACTCTTTTTTTATTAAGATGAACTACCTGGATGAAGTTTACTCTTTGGACTATAAAATACCAGAAGAAAAAACTGCTCTTGAAGTGGTCACTCTCAGAGCTGAGAAAGATTCAGCCGAACTGGTGCAAAAAATTTAATTTTCTTTCTCACAGTCTTATGTTTCAGCTTCTTGGTATCAATTGGTCACATGAGCACGGGGATTTGAAAGCTTATTTATATGCTCCCTTCTGGCTGGTCAACAACACTTCTCTTTCTTTGGTTCATAAGGTGAGTGAGACCACAAGTTTTTCATATTACACCTTCTCCGCCTTTGTGATTCTGTAATTTCTTTTGGTTTCTATCTTGCTATCCTTTGGGAAATATCCAGTGTTAACATATCTGTCCATTCAGGAGAGTGGGCGAGGTTTTCTTCCCAGTGCCAGTGGATGCGTTCCTTGTCGAAAGACTGTTCCTGACGATGAGGTGATTTCGGGCTATGTAATTTTTTGTTCGGGGATCATCAAAAATCATGAACCAAATCAATCCTCCAAAGGCTCTGGTTTACTTGAATGATTTGAGTTTTTTGTTCCTTTAAGCCATAACACTGGGTATGGGTTTAAGTCTTCTGTATCGTTGTGTTTGTTGTTTCTGTTGACGTGCTTCTCCGTCCTTACCCAGCTTTTTTTTTATTATTAACCACTGTGTTATAGGCGGATTCATCTGTGACACACAATCCAGATGTCAACCCGTTGATACTACCCTTCCCATCTACTGATCTGACCAAGAAGAAAAAGGTATGAAAAATGAACCTCAATTTAAAAAAATAAAGCACTCAGGCTTGTGTGAAAATATGTGGTCAAAGTAAATGGTCGGACGAATTTCCCCTTGACACCGTTGGTAACGCTATGCACATCATATGCAAAGGAGATGAAAAAGATTACGAAGTTTAAATTAACTGTTTTAATGCTTATTCATAGATCACTTCAGCTTACCATCGATATCAAACTGGCTCAGTCTGGTCTCACAAAAATTGTAACTTTCGCACCATTCTACCTTGTGTCTAATTTGGGAAAATTCCCAATGGAAGTTCGAGAAGAGAATCAAGACAATTGGACATCCATCCCAGCCCAGAAATGTGTAGGAATATGGCCAGTTGTCAGATCTATGAAGAAATTATTCGCTGCTCGCTTCGAAAGTCAGACAGAAGAGTCTTTATTATTCCCTATTACTGAGAACATCGAAACTCTTTGCGAAGTACTTAACACTTTTTTTAAAAAAATAATTTCTTTGTTTGTTTTTCAGATTAATAATGACAATGTGGGAGTGAATGTATCTGTAGCTACTAGTGAATCTTCCGTAGCCATACATTTGTCTCCTTTCACAAATGGCATGGCTCCTGTCTGCATAATGAACAATCTGGATGTTTGTCTCATCATATTTGACACTTTACTATTCACTCTTTCAGACACCTTTGAAGTTTGGCCAGAAGAATCACAAGAAAAGAAGTCTGGAGAAGAATGAAATGACTTACTTCACGTGGTCGAGTATTATTGATACAAGACTTATTGAATTCGAGTGTGGTGTCGATTGGAAAGGAGAAGATGCTTTGGAAACCAACAAGTTCATGCAAGTACAATTAGATTCGCAGATTCGAAGGTTCAATTCAGTATTTACAAACTGTGAACATATTTTTCAAGATTTGTGTACATGACCAGTTTCCTCATTGGAAGACAGCGAACTATTTTGTTCACCACTGACCTAGATAAAGCTAAGAACTCGGTCGGCTCTTGGGAAACTGATACTCTTGACTTGACCGCTGAAATCACGCTTCATGGAATCGGACTCAGCTTAGTTGACAACGTAGTCGGTAGAGAAGTATCGTTATCTCTTAGTATTCTGGTGACCCGCAGAATAATTTCAGATTTTGTATATGGGAATTTCGTCGTCCGACATTCTCTGGGAAGAAGAAAACAAAAAAGGAAAATACAAACCCCTGGCAGTGAAATACATGGAGAAGTTAGAAGAGATGTATCAAGCCAATTTGCAGAACCCTGTGTCACAGTTCCAGGTTTTATCATGTGCCTGCAACCAAACTTAACCTTTTTACAGCCTTGCGAGGAATATTCAGCCAACATGAAAACAATGATTATGAAGAAAAAGAATGGAAAAGAGGTTAAAATTCGAAGAGGCTTCGAGAAGGGAATATGGATGAATTACGGCAAGAGCTCGCAGAGAACAAGGCTTCATTTCAAGATGAACCACCTTCAAATAGACAATCAGGCAACTCTTTTACATGTTTTTTTATTATGATTCATTATTTACAGATGGACGGATGTATATTCTCTCGGGTTTTGGCTGTCGTACCCCCTCCTAAAAGTGTGGTGGCTGACAATGGTTGGAAACCTTCATTGTTTCAATATATCGTACTATTTTAAGCTCCAAAACCATTTGTGGAACTCTCTTTACTTCAACGCCAAGCGGACTTCTCCCTTGTTCCAGAAATCGATTACTGCCGAGTTTTAGTACAAGAGTTTGCCGTACAGGTTTGAGCTTAGAATCTGAGCCCAGGTTTACATGTCTGGTTATTCAATAGGTTGATCTTGGTTTATTGAACGCCGTCATCTCACTTTTTGAAAATCAAGTGAATAAAAAGCCTTATGGAAAGGAAATGTTCGAACAAGACTTAGCTTTAACGGCCGTTCGTTTGGAAGATACTGCCAAAGAGTATAAAGCTCAAAAACCAAAGAGTTTCTATGATGATCTACATATTTCTCCATTAATGGTTTCTCATCGTTCAGAGCTTTTAAAATCGACATCTTTAAGATTCATTTATCATTTTCTCAAGGAGGAAACTCGAATGAAAACGATGCTATCGGAATACAGTCAGAATTTGTTAACTTATTCATCAAGAGTGTAGGTGTCTCTCTTACAGAGCTACAGGACGTTGTGTTCAAGTGGGTTTTTTCAAGCAAAGTTTTGTTTTATTATTTTGTCTCAGGCTTGGTTTCTTCGAGCGACGTTGTCATTTCTATAACCAAGAACAACTAAGTGCGGAAATAACATCTCATTATACGAAGCAGTTCATGAAACAGGTAGGGTTGTAAAACGTGATATTCAATAGTTTTTTTCTTTAAGTTGTATGTACTTGTTCTTGGTTTGGATATTATTGGCAATCCTTTCGGACTTGTCAGAGATTTATCCGCAGGAGTAGAAGATTTGTTCTATCAACCTTTCCAAGGGCTTATTCAAGGGCCAGAAGTAAGTGGTATATGTACGATAGGGCATTTATTATTCTGTTTCAGGAATTCTTCCAAGGTGTTGGCTTTGGATTACAATCCATGTTCGGGCATACTGTTGGTGGCGCAGCTGGAGCAGTCGGTAGAATTGCAGGAACAGTTGGTAAGGGTGTTGCAGCCCTCACATTTGATTCTGAATATCAGCGAAAACGACAGGTACTTCGAATTAAAAATATTCGTATCATCTCTTTTGTTAACAGGAGGATATAAATCGAAAACCCCAATCATTCGGAGAAGGAATGGCACGTGGTGTCAAAGGTTTAGGCATGGGTGTAGTCAATGGCTTGACCGGAGTTGTCACCAAACCATATGAAGGTGCCCGAACAGAAGGTGCAAAGGGGTTGTTCAAAGGAGTTGGAAAGGTTTGACAGCAATTACAAAGAACACTACAACATATTTTCAAGGGTCTCATCGGTGTAGTCACTAGACCTGTGTCCGGTGTTGTGGATTTCGCCTCTAGTTCTATGGATGCAGTCCGAACTGTGGCTGGATCTCACAAGGAATCAGATATTCTTCGACCACCAAGAGTTATAAAGTCCGATCATATCGTTCGACCGTATAGCAAGGCGGAGGCAACAGGTTTCAAAGTGTTCAAGGTATAACTCTTCGCGTGAGAAGAAAACGTTCTCATATACCTTACAGGACACTGATAGAGGAATATTGGCGGAAACTGATGAGTACATAGATTGTGCGCAAATCAACAAAGCAATTTTATTGGTGACAAATAACCGATTGGTTGGATTTGACAAAAATGATGTTCATTATTATGATTATTGTTTACAGGTGCTATCGAAAAGAACAGATGTAATGGGTACATGGGTTACGGATTGGTCCTTAGAATACAACAAAATGCACGAGCCTCAAACTAAGACGGATGAGAAGGATCCACAAAAACTTAAAATTATTATAACTTCGAAGGTTTTCCTTAATTTTTTGAACAGTTAACCTTCTTTCTTATTCTAGGTGAAAAAGTCAGGTTTTCTTGGCCTTGGTAAAAGAGATGACGATGGTAAAGAAATTACGGTTAAAGATGGCAAAGTGGTTCTCGAAAAAATTGTTGAAGCTTATAGAGCTGCGCTTTGTTGAATGCTATTATCATCATTAATGAGGAGTTTCAGCTTTTTTATTGCTTTGTATGTAAATTGCTTTTTTGGTCTTTTTGGTTATTTTGTAAAAATAAATAATGATTAAAACATCTAACTTCTACGAGAGTAACTTTCTTTTTCACCTTAGGTTTGACCAGTTTTCATGACTATGTGGGCCCTATCTGCTCAATACAAACTCTTTGAGGAATCAAAATAGTATAGAAAAGTAACCTACTAGTAAGAAAAAAAGGTAAGAGGGCAAAACAAAGTGATCAAAACGAAAAAAATTTCTGGAGATATGGGGAATTGAACCCCAGCCCTCTCCCATGCTAAGGGAGCGCTCTACCACTGAGCTATATCCCCAACGAACATGCTACTTTTAAGAACATCTACACACCTTCCTCTCGGTTGGCTGTTCCGTTTAAAGGTTTTTATATTTTATTCATGCACTGATTGTTGTTGGTTAGTCATGTTGTTTTTGTTTTTTTCAATTATCATATATTTTAAAAAGAGTAATCTCTCCAACAAATTCCATCAATTTTGGTCGATTTTTCGTTGAAATAAGACCTTTTCTATTTCGAGCCATGCCCGTGCACCACCGCTCCACACGCAAACCGCGTGTAGAGGAATGAAAATCACGTGAACAAGCGCATGACCGTTCAACTCCTCAACGAAGTCAGAAATGAAACTTGTGCATTTTCATTTTCATCGTGCAAATAAAAAATGCGCGGTGTCATCCTTAAACTTTAGAAACTCTCTTCCCTCTTGATTCTCAGCCGATTTTCATTTTTTGTTCTATTTGAAACACTGTGAGCCTCCCCCTAAAGTATTTCAATTGTCTATTTTTGAAGTCGTAGTTTGATTGTCGAGATTGCCCTTGTGTGCTCAACCTTCTTAGTTGATCTCTGATTCAGTTTTGCTCTTCCATTCAACTTACAGGACTATTGATTAGGAACCTTTGTAACCTTTTCTTTCTTTTTTTTATAGCTATAAGATAACTTCAATTTCAAGCTTGTTCCTTGACACTTTTTCTGACTTGTGCGCGCTGTTCTGATCTGCTTGTGTTGATAAATCAGGTTAAGAATTGACCATTCAAACACTCGTTTATCGTTCTTTGAAGTTGTAGTCCGGTGTCCGACTCTGATCATTCGTAGTAGCCACGCCCATCTAGAAAATTCCTCCTACTGCTCATTCAATCAACCAACAAGGCTATTGATTATTTTCTCATTAACCATCTCTTATGAACAATATATTTGTCGGTCTTTCTTCTTTTCATTGATTTCCATAGCTTTCACCCGATGGCTTTTCCCTTCCCACTTCTCCTCATGTAAACGCTGTTACAGACGGTTCTGTTCATTTTTGAGTTAATCTGTTAATGCGACATGATTTAATAATAAATACTGTATGGTTCTTGCTTTCTAGTGTTTCTGTGTATCTGTGCTCCTTCTTTCACCCGACTGTTCAACTTGCTGGGATAAGCTTGATCAAAGCGTTCTCTCTCCTTTTTCCTCAATCTCTCATTGCAACAAAATGTATTTTCGTCTGTTATTGTGTATGGGAGGATCTCTTACAGCTTCTGTTTATCATTCTCTTGTATTACTTTTGAACTGTTATTTTCTTCTTTTTTTTCTCGCTCATGTCCTCGATTTTGAAATTATTGAGAGCCGATAGCTGCACGCGTCAATTGTCATTTGTCCAAGAAATAAGGAGAGAGAAGCTCCAGGCTTCGAAATTTGTGTCATAGTTCTTTTCATCTTGACATGTTACTCTTCATCCTTACTGTACTCGATTACTCAAGGAATGGAATGCGAGTTCTTGCTGTTAGTTCTCATTACTTGTTCTTTTTGGTTTGAAAATGTGAAAGGGTGAACTCTACTGGAAAGTGGAAGTAGGTCCTT